TTGTGCCACATCACTATTTAAGAATTGCAATAAACTGACAACACTCGTAATGTCAGTTTAGTCTACGAGATTAAAAAACAGACTTTAGGCATTTGTTTCTAGTCTACCTTTCACCCACGCAGAGCTTTGTATATTGTAGATAGAGTTACGTTAACCATGTCAATAATTCCTGCGTAGTTTGACTCAGATCGGCTTCCCCTATTGAAGATACAATTCAGCGTTATTCACCTGTGTGGATGGTTTTCCAAGTGGTTTATTCTTCTAGTCAAAGTTTATATTACGAAAGCGTTTAAACCAAAAACGCACGGTGCTTTAGTGCCGCATCAGAACTCTTATTCAAAATTGACTCGGTATTTCGACGTATCCACCTTTCAAGTCTAAGATGAATAAAAAGGAAACAATTGAAAGTTGAAAATCTAATGTTGCACATTTTTTAAAAGAAGAACCTCATTGGTATCATGCTTAAAATGTTTGACACGAAAATCTCCGACCATGAAGGTTTTATGTCAATTCAAAGTATCTATTACTATACGTATACATATGTACTAGCTGACCCTGCAAACGTTGTTTTGCTATTTACATTATTTAATTATTATTATTTTTTTGAATTTCTTAAAATCCGTTCTTAGCTGACCTCTACTCGGTAAAAGAATATTCCTACCAAATTTCAAGTCTTAAACTCTAATGGTTCCAGAGATATAGTGATGAGTGACTATATACGTGGAAATCTCTTATATATATATATATAGATTTAAAACTAAGAAGATAAATAAATAAAAAATCGTTAAATATTATTCTATATACACACTAGATATAGACACACTAGCTATACTACGATATACAGATTTTATACATAACTAGTTTTATAATATTAAGAATATGTATATATATATAATTATATCACCACCCGATGTGTGCATTTAGTGTAATCACTATTTGCGTCTGTTTAATATCTGCTTATTCATGGACTTTCTTTAAGGCGAGCTACCTTCGAGAACGTAATTCATAACATTGAACTTGAAATATTTTTCTTTCTCTCAAATTTAAAGGGAAGATCTATTAGTCCCATTACTTCCACAAAGAAGTAATGAGGGCTATTTGTTAACATTTCTTTCTATTCCTAACGAGGGCATCGTCCTTAAAGAGAAGGACGAAATCCTTTGTATGGGTAATTTAATTGAAATAATTCAACTAAATAATGATACATTTGCATTTTTTCATTTCGAAATGTAACTTATCTGCAAGATTTGTTTAATAATGGTAAGTATTTTTCTATTTAATATCTTTTTGCAAGCAGTTGACTATTAGTATAATAAATGAGATCATTGAAATTGACATTCCATGAATTGGCAATTTACGGGTCTGGTCTAGTTGTTAGTGATGCTAACTGCTATGCTAGAGGTCGTAGAGGGTTTGATTCCCAACCAGACAAACTTTTATTTTGTTTTTTTAAAGACAACTCCCGCACTAGGAATAATACCTGTGTAGCGGAGGACAAACATACATGAAACGAATACAAAGAACACCCAGACTCAGAACAACAATTTGTGGATCACACAAAGTGTTGTCCCACAACACTCAGCGCAGTAGGAAGCGTGGTGATCGCTTAAACGACTACGCCATCCTTGCAGTCTTATATATTTTTTTATTTAGTTTGTATATCTGTAATATGTATTTGAAAGAAAAAAATTATATCAGGATGTTTATCACCTGTCTGATTACTGTAGCTCAGTCTAGTTTGAAATGAGATGGCCTTGTGTGTGACGTATAAAAAAAATACCTCGTTTTCTACTGAGTTATACTTAGTTACTTGTCATCAAGTTTTATTAATTCAGTACAAGTTCTATCTTCTGTTATCGTATTATAAGTTATTAGCCGAAGTTAAACTATATTAAACAATTATAAATGTTCCCAACCACCGCGTTTAATTTTAACTGTGTTAATGTTTCCATATGGCGTAGTGGTTTGTGTAACGGACTGCTATTCCAAAGGTTGCGGGTTCGATTCCCGCTCAAGTCAAACATTTGTGTCCATCAACATTTAATGTTTGATTTGGTCTGGGTGTTTCTATGTATAATATGTATGTATTTACTAAAAAAAAGTATACATGTATTTATATCACTTGTCTAGTAGCCATTCGTTGACAGAGTTTCCCCCCGTGTGAATATGGGGGGGGGGGGGACTTTTATGGGAAGTTTGGGCTCCAGTAAGGTTACTGGAGCCCAAACCTCATTCACTGGGTAAAATGCATAGAAAGAATTGCCTTACACTGGTTTTCTGTCAGGCCATGGTTTTACCCAAGTCGAACCGTCCAATATGTTTCGAAAAATGGATTTCCAGGATATTACAAATGTGACCCTGACTGCTAAGCCGGAGTTCGTGGGTGCGATTCCCACCCAGGACAAATATTGTGTGATGAGCACGGTCATTTGTTCTGTGTCTATGTATTTAAAATATAAATAAGTATCTTTATCAGTTGTCTGGTTACCATAGTACGGGCTCTGCCTAGTTTGGGATCAGACGGCCGGGTGTGAGATGTGTGATGTTTATTATTACTTAACATCAATTTACGGACGAATTAAGAATACGGAGTGTCACCACCCCTATTCATCCCGTGGGTGTCGTTAGAGCCGACTAAGGGAGCAAACTACGCAGGACAACAGCACTGCAAAGAGAAGGAAAACTTGAAACAAATTCTATACCAACCCGTTTGGCAAGCGTGGTATAGTTGGCCAAAACCTCCTTTCAAAGGAGAGGCCTATGTCCAGCAGTGGACTATGAAAGGCTGTTGATGATGATGATGATGATCATCAATTTACTGTGAGGCGGACGAATCACTCGATATTTAATAATATGGCCAGTTAACATCTCTGTCTTAATTGCATTTCTAATCACGGAATAGATATGCATGTTACGCCACCCAAGTCATTGCTTTTTCCTCAACTCAACTTCTCAAGTTCGAGTGTTTCTAAGAAATTTTCCAAAATTAACTAAGCAACAGTTACTTTTTGTGGCGTAATCTTGAAATTCTTACATACAAAGAGTAAATAAGATTCTTGAGTAGCTGTCTATGCCTAAGAATATGTGTTTGAAAATGTTTAATAAATAAAGTAAGGAGTTTAGAGTTATCAAAATGAATTATTGAAGTGAAAACTTCTTTGGGCGTGTTGGGCATTTTTGAACAACAACAAAAGATTGTATTTTTGAGATGGATAAACCGTTACAATCACCTCCATATAAGTATCAACATATAATAGCCCGTTAACACGAGAGTTGAGTTTGGGTTGAAATACATTGATAATATAACTTTAAATAAAATAAACATACATATATTGTGTAAATACGTACAAGATAGATAAATATTCATGTCGGAACTTGTCGAATTGAAAAAACCAAAAAAAACCTGTTATAGTTAAAAAAAAACAAGTTTTCACTTCTGTCAGCACTTGGAGTGGCACCGTTTTATTTTTAATTTTTCATGGAACAGTCGACAGAGAATTATGATTACCAATAAAACTTCATAAACTAGTATCATTAGAATCTGAATGAATCGAAATGAATACTGATAGTTAAAACTATAATATGTTTACTGGTTTAGTTCAAGAACACTAGTTCCACAGTAATATACAGCTGGTAATCCTCTTCCAGATCGCAATAACCGCTCCCAGCTTCCGACAAAGCCGGATAAGCTGCCGTCTGCGGATACTTAGCGAAGTCTTCACGGCAGTTGTAATTAGCTGAAAGTAAATAGTAATAGTCTAGAGTAGCTTACTGAGCTGTACTAGATGACAGTGGGTAATACCACGAGTGGAAAACATGACTCAGTATGTGTGTTATGAGTTTTAAAGTTTAGTTATTTGGCTACTGTGTGCGTACAGTTTTAGCTTATGATAGAATAGAAAATCCTATCGTTACGAAAATACGTTTCACCTGAAGATAAAAGTACTAACATGCGTTTCGCTTGAGGGTAAAAATCCTGTTGTTAAATGCCGTTTGTTTGTTTTGTGTCTGACGAAAATTCTTTCAATGATGGACTCACTATTTTCTGCGTCCTGTAGACCCAGATCATGTGTACTCAATTTTGACTAGGTTTATTGAATTTCATGAAACTTTCTATTGTTAAGGTATTTCTTCATATTCTTGTATATGGTAAAATAATTTACATTTAATTACAAAAAAATAAATAAGGATATTCTCAATTCGACGCTAGGTTGTTTTTGTTATGTACCTACTCGTCGTATCCGATAACTGTAACGTGGCCCACCTGTTTTTTTTATTTTATTTGAAAGAGTATAATACCCAGTTTAGGAGCATACTTTCTTTAGATCCTAAGATATATTTTTTTAAACAACTCTCCCATTAGGAATACATGCCTGCGTCGCGGGGGACTTTAAAAACAGACATGAAACGGACACAAAGAACACCCAGACTCAGAACAAAAACTTTTGGATCATGCAAAGTGTTGTTCCATGTGGGGATCGAACACTCAGCGCAGTAGAAGGCGGCGAGGTGATCGCTTAAACCTCTACGCCATCCGTGCAGTCAGATATTATAGTAATATCATAATGAGATCCTCGAGAAATTGAGAATACTCTTCAGAAACTACACCTATGTGGGTAGTTTTACTAACTTTCATTTCATTTCAACTCGTGTATAGCACTTATATGAGTTAATTGAAAATTTTCGATAAGCTTTCCATAATGAACAATCAAGAAAAGTCGTATTACAAGTAAATTTGATATAAACTTTAGCAGGTCAAAGATTGCCCTCCCTAAATTCCATCATCTGTGAGTGACATACCTCAATCTCTATGACAAATATTAGTTGTTTATTTAAGAGTGGATAGTAACAATCTGAAAAATGCTATTTGTAAACAGATGTCAATTGTTCTTTGCGAGCAGTGAGTCATTTTAAGGTCATTCTTACAAGCTATTAAAACCGGCTAGCTCCGAATATAATATCATTCTAGTTTGTTTTTGGTAGATAGTAGTTTGTATAAAATGGGACTCGGATATCAAATTATATTGACGCAAAACAAGGATGGGATCTTCAGAAGTGGAGAAACGGTGTACGGAGTCTTGAGATGTGTTATCAACAAACCGAAGAAGTTCCAATTTATAAATGTTTCCCTAAAAGGCATAGGCAAGTGCTCCTGGACTGAATCCTGTGTTCTAAGTAAAAGCAATCATTCGACTTTTTATCACGGCAAAGAGAAATACGTATCTCTATATAAGACATTACTACCAAAAATTGAAAATTCAATGTTGGCAGGTGTCCACGATTTACCGTTTCAGTTTCAACTTCCACCAGATCTCCCATCTTCGTTCAAGGACAAAATATGTAAAATAAAATATAAAGTGGTTGCTGAAATATCTAACGCTGGATTCTTTGGCTGCACAAAGAAGGTTGAAGCAGAAATACAAGTTCGTGGTATCCTTAAACGCTGTTCAACTGAACCTTTGGTATTTGGATTAACAAAGAGTCCATTTACGATAAAGAAAACTGTGGATCTAAAGATAGAGATTGAAAAAACCTTTTTGGAGCCAGGAGAGAAAATAAAACTGAAGTGTGTAGTAAGCAATGCTACAAATCTGCCTATAATTTGTCTCAAAATAATGCTTATCACACAAACAACGTACACATCAGATGATAAACATAAGCATGTGCAGCGGCAAGTGATAGATCGAAGTGTTGGGGAGTCACGTGAAATACAAGGGAACTGTATTACTGAGCTGTATTGTAGTGTGGCGACTTTAGAAAACTTATACTCTATACAACATTCAAGAATTTTGATGAGAGAGTACAAATTAAATGTGGCATTAAAATTTCCTTTTCCTCATAGAGATGGGACTGTAGAAATTCCCGTGGTTATAGGAGAATCAAATGTTCCGGGTTTAATGTATAGCAATATCTCTTACAACGTTTATTGAAGTCATTAGCACTTTATTTGAAGCAAGTTTAAAGGAACGACAGTGTAAACGAATTCGACATCCATTAGAGAATGCATCATTTACTTTCTTGTTTTTTGTAGGATCAAATTGTAATGTTACCTTTCCATTTTTAGATTTTATACTATTTAATAAAGTTGAAATCATGTTTTATGGTTATATTTTTATCATTTGAAATAATAAAACCTAATTTATAGTATTCAATGCCAATTTACTAACTTGCAATGCAATATGATCATGTTTAGAACTTGATGGCGAATTTTTATTTAATTTCTTTGCGTTTTGACAAAATGAAGATACGGTTTTAGACTTTAATGAAAATATACATTAATTAATACTGTTACAATAATCTTTTTTTTTTCAAATGGTGAATAGAAGAATAAACATAAAAATGTTTATGTATCATTGTATAATACGAATATATTACGTGAATGTATATTGAAGGAACGTGTGCAGAGCTCTCTCTCTCTCTCTAGCTTATTGCTTTATCTCCATTACAATAGGTCGGCACACTTGTGCCAAAACGGATTTTGAACCGACGAATACCCGGATTCAGTGGATAGATATGTAAATCTCATATTTAAACCAATAACTTCGAGGTTTCAAATCTCATGTTGTGCAAACATTTCATGTTTTGAAAAGGAAATATTTGAATATTTTTGCGATTAGCTTTTATTGGAATTTAAAGGATTTTTTAAATTTCGGTACATTTTGAATTGAATTTTTACTGAGTCGGCATAGTATTACTAACAAAATATGGAAAACAAATTCTGAAATATTTTTTTATAATTTATTATTATTATAGTAAAATATTTATTTTGCGTTTTATATCTTGGGCTATATACATATAAACAAGAGAGGATGTGTCGAGTACGGTAGAGTACCAATGCAGTAAGGAGTTCGAGTTTCTACCTCACCTACGAGATAGCAGGTTTGATTCCCTATTTACAATTTAGTATTTAGAAACAGTAAATAATTTTAGTGGAATTTAGCTTATACAAATCAAAATCAAAATAAATGTAGTGTATTTCATTTTATTAACTATTATAAATTACCACATACCATTCATTTAAACTTAAAACTATAAAAACGGGTTTCATAAAACTACGAAACTTTATTTAAATGAGATCAGTTCAAAATTAATTTACTCTTAAAATAACTCATTTAACTGGCTATATCTATTAAACAATAAATAGAATAATTAACTGAAGACATTTAATTTCATAATCGCCACTAGATTTCATAGACTAGGGTTGTCAAATATTTATCAAAGGTTTTATTCACTTGTCGAAACTATTTGGGTAGTCCTGAAATACACCTATCTTCAATCTTCAATGCATACAAAATATGGAAGTCATTAAGGAACTAATGAACGAATCTTATTAGGACAAAAAAATACAGTCGAATTGAGAACCTCCTCGTTTTTTTTCAAGTCGGTTAAAAAAAGTAGGCTGTTATTATTGACGTTATAAATTTGAATGAGTTTATTTACTGTGGTTTGTCACCCTACATTACACTAAATTTTTCAAAAACAGATTGTCAGAGGGACAAAACTCTCGGGATCCTAAATAAAAGTACTATTATAATAATAATCTTCTACCACATTCACACAACGCCATCGGACTAGATGGCGTTGTGTGAATGTGGTAGAAGATTATTATTATAAGCAGAGCAAACTAAGCAGAGCTTGTACTATAGGTACTAGGCAACTGATATAAATACATATAAACTTTTTTGGTACATACATACATATTATACATAGAAACACCCAGACCAAATCAAATATTAAAATTTCATGCATACAAATGTTTGACTTGAGCGGGAATCGAACACTACTAACTAAACTACTAAACTAAAAGTATATAAAACATATGATATACTTGTTCATTTTGGCAAAAACTACTCAATTTTAACAACCATAAAGGTATCTCTTGTCATATCCTATAATTGTCATCTTTTTACAACTAACAATAAAATGATTTCAAAATTAAAATCAAAACTCTGCACTTGTATCAAGTATTTCATGTTCATCATCATCATTGTCATCATCAGGGACAGATTCTTGTAATGGTTGGTTTTCCATCTCCCGTTGTAGCATCTTATGTTTTTTTCTTAAGAAGAAGCCGCGCTGAAAAATATTTTAAAAAATTTAGCTTTTTCAGAAAGGACAAAATCCTGATTTCTGATAGTTTTTTTTTAATGATAATAATTCTATTTGTCTAACTTTGTTTCCATCTTGGTTTTACTCTGAAAGTATGATAGTACTTTTAGAATACAGCCTTAAAGCTGAAAGCAATGAAATGATCAGCGATTTCCAGGTAGATTACTTTCTAATCCACTTTATAGATATTGCTCTGTATAATTTTAGATGTAACTGTCCCTTACCATGCCGTGGCAACTTGTAAGTAAGACAACACTCAACACATATTTGTAAAACATGTTTGTAAACTATTTATTAGTGCATGTTTTGTAATTTCACATCACATCACATCAACAGCCTTTAATAGTCCACTGCTGGACATAACCCTCTCCATAGAAAGGAGGTGTTGGCCTACTATACCATGCTGGCCAGACGGGTTGGTATAGGGTTTGTGTCAAGTTTTCCTTCTCTCTGCAGTGCTGTTGTTCTGCGTAGTTTTGTACTGTTGTTCTGCGTTTTGTAATTTGTCCTAAATAAATATATTTATATCATAATATCTATCTTCAAGCTTTTTTCCCAATGCCTTTATAAAGATCCCGTTAATCCCTGTACCAAACTTTATCAGACGGTAACATACTTCAGAGGAAACAGACAGAGTAATTTTACATTTATGATGTCGATATAATTTAAATAGTAAAAGTTCTTACTTTATGTAGGATCCGTACGATGATAGCCAGTAGAAGCAACCCTACGAATATGCAGGGTACGACTATGTACCAGATAATACTTGCCGGTTCTAATTTCAACGTCGTGGTTACTTCAAAGACCCTGAAAAAGTAAACAGGCATAAACTAAAATAAAATTAAAAACAGCTGATGATTCTCAAACTTTCATTTCATCATCATCAACAGCCTTTAACAGTCCACTGCTGGACATAAGCCTCTCCTTAGAAAGGAGGTTTCGGCCTACTATACCACGCTGGCCAGACGGGTTGGTATAGGGTTTGTGTCAAGTTTTCTTTCTCTCTGCAGTGCTGTTGTTCTGCATAGTTTTTTTTCCCTTAGTCGGTTCTTAAGACACCCTAGGGATGAATAGGGGTGGTGACACTCTGTATTCTTAATCCGTCACCACACGAATTCTCAAACTGCTGAACAGTATTTCTTAAATTTAAAAAAGACATCAACCTGTAAATACTAGGACATTATGACTTTACTATTCGTATAACTAACTAGGTACTTACGTTTGTTTCATGCCAGCTTTGGAGATGAACTGTATTGATGTGGTAGCATTATAAGTTAAGTTTTGTTTTAGGAAGTCCCCTGAAAAGTAAAAAACTTTAGGTGTATATTTTCCTTCCCTTTCGGGAGCACAGAGGGAAAATGAGGGCTCCACACAGGTGGGGTCGTCTACCCGCCGTAGATGGCCCGAGGTAAGTCGGGGTACCAGGGATTTCCTTTCTAGGGTACACCTGGTTCCCCGACTACTGGTACCTGAGACGGCGTGCGGTTTAGTCGGTTCGAGTCCGACATTGCCACCGGTAAGTGGTATCCGAGGGGATTTCCGCACAGAAAAAAATAAAATAAAAAACTGTGTCTACTTTTAGATACCAACTCTAAAATTGGCTTCCTAATTATTATTCTAACAGAAATGTAGACACAAAAACGTAAGTATTATAAACTAATGTTACTAACTTAAGTTACTAATTTAAACTGAGTGATTCAGTTTAATCAAATATTTACTTTATCACATGGCCATGTATGCAATAATGCTTGTTAGCAGTAGGCGAGCGATTTTAAATAGAAAATGATCCTTTGCAAAGTTACACATAACATTGACCCCAAATGAAATTAGAACAAATAACAATCGAGTAGCATGTACACTGATGTCAATTTTAAGGAGATTTCCACTTTTTTTATGGACGTTGGTTTTTCATCAACGGCCTAGAACAATCCACTGCTGGATATAAGCCTCTCCTAAGAAAGGAGGTTTTGGCCTACTATACCACACTGGCAAGACGGGTTTGTATAGGGTTTATGTCAAGTTTTCCTTCTCTTTGCAGTGCTCTTATCCTGCATAGTTTTCCCCTTAGTTGGCTCTTACGACACCCACAGGATAATAGGGGTGGTAACATTCCGTATTTGAATACGTCACCACACGGTTGGTTGGTTAGTTTTTATGCCGAGTAAAATCAATTTTGGCTCAAAATTATACGTATATATAGCAGGTAAAATTAAGAATTAGGTATTATTTGGCTAACAATTTTAAAAAAAATTCATAGCATACCCAAAGTAAACATAAAAAAACGTCAATATAAAAAACATAACACACTGTCAACAAGTTTAGAAACAGAATCGTCATCAATCTGTCAGACGAGAAACAATTTTCTTGTCAAAATTGTCATTTCATTGTCAAGACTGTCATTTTATGTATTATTTCATTGCATTTGGCCTAAAATATGCCAAATTAAAAAATATACTTTTTTTAAATTGCAGTAAGTAATTTAAAATTACATTTAAAAATTATAACATTAGTTCTTAGAAATTCTTTCTAAAAATATTTGGTATTAATAAAAAATAACTTCTGGACAGGTCCTTTGAGAATTATTATCCTCAGAGGTCCTGTAAACCTGTAACCTGTTTACTTTGGGTATGCTATGAAAAAAATTTAAAATTGTTCTCCAAATAATACTCAATTCTTTATTTTAGCTGCTATATATCATTATACCTCTTCCGAGCCTTTTCCCAAACTGGGTTGGGTTCGGCTTTAGTCATCTACGACACGGCTGAACTTCGATATTTACGTACACACAAAAAGTGCGTGCGTAAGAATAACAGATTAAATAAACAATGCATTTTACTGACCTTCTACGTTAAGATCCATTATCAGTGGAATTGACACTGGGAAAGAAACCATAGCTGGTATTGACCAGATGCATTCAAATCCAACATTTGCTTCTTCACAGCCTTTTATAGGAGTTGACAGATTTGTCTGCAACAAAGTAAATCTTTCGTAAATCGTTCTGAATTTCACCTTTTGAATACATAAAATTTACTTATAATAATTTATATTTATATTTTTAAATGTATTTTTTTGTAATATATTTAAAATATATATATCAATGTCTAAATATAATGGCATAAAGAGAATAATAATAATAATTTCACACATCTCACACACGGCCGTCTGATCCCAAACTAGGCAAAGCCTGTGCTATGGTGACCAGACTGCTGATAAACATACTTACGAGTATATATTTTTAAATACATGTATATTACATATAAATTACACCCAGACACAGAACAAATTACTGTGCTCATCACACAATATTTGTCCTGAGTGGAAATCGAACCCACGACCTCCGGGTAAGCAGTCAGGGTCATATTTGTATTATCCTGGAAAAACCATTTTTCGAAACATATTGGACGGCTCGACCGGGGTAAAACCATGGCTTAACAGAAAATCTTTCTTTACTTTTCACCCAATGAATGAGGTTACTGGAGCCCAAACCTCCCCATAAGAGTCGCCTCCCCCATATTCACACGGGGGGAAACTCTGACAATGAATTTGTGACTTTGACTCTCGTTTGCCCGCATTAAATATACTAAAGGCAAATAAATATCTAAAGACTATCAAATAAAATTATTTGAATAACATAAGCAATATAGTGTACAAAAAAAAGTTCTGTGGTAAGTATTGATTGCTAAGAGTCTTAAACAAAGCAGAATAAAAAGAGATTTCTACCTTTTCAGGAATTGCAATTTGAACAGCTAATGCAGGCCAGTCAGATGGGCCCAGATTCGTTATCTAGAAATAAAAGTTTTAGTAAGTAGCTATTAGAAATTAATTAGAAAATAATATTACAAATTAATTTCGATAAAATACCTCAAAATAGTGTTTGAACGAAACACCAGCAGCAATTGCTAATTTTTCCCTCAAAATAGTTATAGAAGCGTTTGGCGTAGATTTTCTGAAATAAAATTGTTTATTACTTTTTTACGTCAATACCTAATCTAACGAATAAGATTTAGGAAATTAATAAAAACAAGAAAAAGATTAAATAAGATTTAATTTTAAAATTTATGATAAGAAAAAAGGGAGTAATAAAAAGAAAAAAAAATTGGTTAGTAACCGGTGTCAGGTTCCTCCATCAGAAAGGGGGGATCCTCCGACCAGGTGAGGTGATGGTAGGCCGCAGCCCAACAGTTGATGGTGGGAAGTTTTATATATGCTAATCGGCGTGAATCTTTTCATTTCGAGCAAAAGGATTCACTTACTTCGATATTCTATCTATCATTATTATATGGCACTAAAGTATGTTTTACTTTCATTGTATGTGTCACAAAAGTGTTAATTTAATGTTTAACTTACCCACTCACGGTGAAGTTGGCTTCTGGAGTAACGTTAATAAACATTTCATCAACAGTCTTATGAGATATATTTCTCTTGAAAATATCACTCAACTCTGCAATAACTATCAAATCTATATCTTCAGTGATATTCAAATTGTATTCTAATTCGATTTCCCAAACTATTTCCTCGTTCCTCAAGAATGGTTGCGGGAAATCACAGCTCATCATCAAATCTTGGAAGGAACAATCAGCCGGGATCCTCTTTGGATGCATTGGGAGTGAAATGTTGACCTTCAAACCATAAGCAGGTTCTTCTTCGTTAACAACCGTTAGTTTTACGCCAAATGTTTGGTTGGAACCTGGTATATATGGACTTTAAAAATACAAACTGATTAGTACATTTTATACATCAATTCCAATTTATACGGATATTCATTAAACTGTATCTAAATGTAATCTTTCAAATAAGGGTGAATAATTATATTAAATGATTATCGACGATTGGTGACGGATTAAGAACACGGAATGTCACCACCCCTATTCATCCCGTGGGTGTCGTAAGAGCCGACTAAGGGAGCAAACCGCGCAGGACAACAGCACTGCAAATAGAAGGAAAACTTGAAACAAACCCTATATCAACCCGTCTGGCCAGCGTGGTATAGTAGGCCAAAACCTCCTTTCCAAGGAGAGGCCTATGTCCAACAGTGAACTGTTATAGGCTGTTGATGGCTGATGGATGATGATGGTTTTAAGAGAGTTTGTCAAAATTTTGTAGTTGTAAACTAAAAGTGTTGTAAAAAATATTTTAGATGTTGGGGTATGTAGCATTAAATATATACAAAAAAACGCTAAAAGAAAAATAAATTATTTTGATAATAATTTTATGTAAAAGCTACTCACGCTACTTTAGGTAAGTCTTAAAGAAAATACTTCCTATATTAGTTATAAAGAATGTTACTTTGTTTTTAAATAAAAAAACTTACTTGTCTAAAGCTTCCAGTGTCATAGTAAGCCAAGGAGAACAAAATAGATCATCGCCACAATCTCTCATCAATTGTACAAGAAATGATGCCTTCAATATTGAATCATCAGACAGTCGAGCAGCATCTATCAAGAATGTTGTTGAATCCTCTAAAATGTGAAAGAAATTCATCAGATTCGAGGTAAGAATCTAAAAATCATGTTCTTCTAACCCTTTTCTTTCAATGTGTAACATCGCATAGGGTTTGGGTGGTTTCTTTGATGAACGGCCATCTGCCTACACATCTGACGACAATATGAAGTATATGTAGATAGGACAATATAAGGGATGCTGCAAGTATAGGATAGAGAAACGGGTCTGACATTGAAGTCTTTCACTCGTTTGTCTGGTTAGGACTGGCCGTAATGATGGAGATATCAACTGGATTAAACTTAACTAAATCCGAGGTTTTGCACACATTTATGCAAATGTTAAAAACACCTCAGGTACAGTACAGTTACTAGGGACGTATTTTTATTTCTTTATGAAAAAGAGGTTATTTACTTAAGTTACAAGCTTTTACGCTGATTCGCTTACATATTTGTTCATTCAACAAATGCATAAAAAACGATTAACGCCTGATTCCCATCTATTACATAAATATGGATACAAAAATGAATATACGAGTATTGTCGCCGAAATCACCGGAGAGGATGCACTCATATGCACTTTTGGAGATTTTCATGGTTCTAAGTTCTTGGACGCTATACGCGCAAACTACAATGCTTCTCTAAGTAAAGCTTAAGACATGATATTTGGAATACAATTTTTGTTTTCTTGTTTATTATTATTTATAAATTTATTTTATTATTATTAACAATTACCTTTCATTAACTCGTCCGCTTCAACTTCAAATGTTAAAATCATTGGTTTAAGCAAGTCAGCTGTCTCCTGTAATATAATTTAAACAAGGATTCTTTTAAGTAAAGTGAAACCCTTTTAGGTTGAGGTTGCATTAATAGGCCAATTTGCATGGGATATTTATGCAATTCAAGTGAATTGTAATAAAAAAAAATATATATTCAAGGAAATCATGCGCTCAAACATCAAGTAAAATTAAAAAAATAACCAGGTATATTTATCGTTAAACTACGAATTTTCCTTTGCCCATCATTATCTGTATTGTCTTGTATTGTATTCTTGTTGTCATCGAAAAGACCTTTAGGTCTCTCCGATGACAATACTGTAGCTTGTTCACATATTAAATAGTATGTGATTTTTTTAATTTTTAATTTTATGTAATTTATCTATAACTAGCGGACCCGGCAAACGTTGTTTTGCCATATACGTTCTTTTTAGAAAATATAAAAAACAAATTAGGGATGAGTCACCCTTTTTATTTAGGGGGATTAAAAAAAATGTTGGCCGATTCTCAGACCTACCTGATATGCACACAAAATTTCATAAAAATCGGTTCACCCGTATCGGAGGAGTTTGGTAACAAACACCGCGCCACGACAATTTTATATATTAGATATGTATGTATTTAAAAATTTATAAGTATGTTTATCAGCAGTCTGGTTACCATAGCACAGGCTCTGTCTAGTTTGGGATCAAACTGCCGCGTATAAGATGAGATGTTTGAAGTTACTATTATTATTACTACTATACTTTCCAGTTGTATTATATGATAGTGTACACACTGTACTTACATTAACGTAAATAGTCCTTTGGTCACACACCTCACTATTCGGTGTGGCTATTATAGAATACGTTGAATCTTCTATAACTAAAGCCCGGTTTTCTTCAGGATCTGCTTTTACAGATCCAATAAGTTCTGCAAACAATACAAAAATACGAGAAATTAAAAACATATTTGAAGTCTGGCATACTCAAAGACGATATAATCATATTATGTTTTTATTGGTATTTTTTATCTATATCTCCGGATGTAATAAAATTTCACGGTTCTTCTTCGAGTAAGAAAACTTGATTAATATACACACTCTCATATTTTCGTTAAACAATAATCATTTTCTTTAACAGTGAAAAAAAGCCACCTACATTTACGAAAGTTGTGCATAGATTTTTTTGAGGTTTCATAAGCCGTGAAGAATTATATTAAACCATCATAATATAGTTGTCCGTGTGGTGACGGATTAAGAATACAGAGTGTCACCACCCCTGTTCATCCCGTGGGTGTCGTAAGAGCCGACTAAGGGAAAAAACTACGCAGGACAACAGCACTGCAGAGAGAAGGAAAACTTGACACAAACCCTATACCAACCCGTCTGGCCAGCGTGGTATAGTAGGCCAAAACCTCCTTTCTAAGTAGAGGCTTATGTCCAGCAGTGGACTATTAAAGGCTGTTGATGATGATGAATATAGTGTCATAGTTATTCAATATGTTATACACATTATGCAAATAATTAGGTTATTATTATTTCATCCTCTATTTTTCCAGTTACCAGTACATATGTACTTACTTAATTTTATATCTGTTCTAAAATTGGTCGGAGGTGCTGTCACACAGAAAGTAGCGATGAACGTTGTAACATTATGAGGTAGGTTCACGGCTTTGGGTACCCTGATTAAGGTATGAATAGGAATGGTTGGAATGCATCGGTACAAGTAAGAAGTGCGGCTATTGAATGCGCCGATAGCCAGGTCTAAAAACACACAAAAAAAGTGAAAATAGTAACAACAAAATTATTAAATACGTTATCGTTATAAAATTATAAATTTAAAGATTTTTAAACTTTTAAGATCTTGAAAACAAATACCATTGCATTTATTTTGGTCTACATCTACTCCTTTAGCTATAGACCAGCCAAAGCCAGAAGCAGTCGATGATTGAATTCGTTGAACATTTTTCTTGCTCAACCCGTTGGCGTAACCCATGTAAATATACACTGCTCCTGCACCATTATCTTCCCAAGGAGCTCCTATAGCTATATCTAAAATATAATACAAAAAATCATCAATGAGTATTCTACTTGCTATGCAGTACTAGTTCCAAAAATTACGTCAATAATTTACCTCTAAATTCATCACCATTTATGTCACCGAGATCAGCAATAGTAGTGCCAAATCTAGCTCCATCTGCCCCAGAACCGTATACGTAGCCAGATTCTTCAAAAATTAATCCAGACGGAGACTGAAAAGACAAAAATAACTTTATTACAAATACTCGTATTTTAAGCAGAACAACGACCTGATCAAAGTTGGAAGCAAAATCTATATTTAAAGTAGACAAATTCTTGCTCTAATAAAATAGTTCAGAAATTGGATTAAGTATTAATAATCCCAAAAACTTATTATTAGACTAGTAAACAAGAAAAAAGATTAAAAGCTCTAAAGATTATTTCTAACAAACATTAATAAAATTATCAGTTTACCTCTTTAGTGATATATACAAAAACAGCTCCTTGATCATAAGGGAGGGCTCCGTTACTTTTCACGAAAGTAGGAGCACCAACAAGCAAGTCATCTAATCCATCTTCATTTATGTCTACACAACAAAGACTCGCACCAAAATACGAACCTATTTGCGGACCCATCAGTTTTGCTTTAATGTCTAAAGCTTTGAGCTCTTGAGTTTGAGGTTCAAACACTAAAACCTGAAATATGCATTCGTATACATTAACTTCTTTAACCTATGTGCGTGAGAGTTCTCGGGCGAGTTCTCAACACAACATTTTTATCCAAATTTTCATTGCAGTATCTAAAATGTAAGCAACTACTGATTTTGTAGTAATTTTTTATCATTAAATAACTTTACTAAATCTGATTAGAGTATTTTATTTCACTCCGAGATCTTCCAATCTATCAAATATTTAAATACAATTTACATTACATAAAATGGTTCATCAGTATTATCTGAAACTACTATTGGATGCTGATAATTATTTTACTAATCAAATAAGGAATAGACAAACTACCAGAGTTTTATATAACTAGGCTCATACAAATTTGTCCAGAACTAGTTATGAAGAAACATACTTTTTGTTTTGGCCACGTTAAAACACTGTTTATTAGTTAGGAATTCAAATTTCAAACAATACAAAATCATTCATGTAATCGTATTAGAATTAACTTGTCTAAACGAACGTATTCACCTCAGTACATTTTGCCTGCAAGCAAGTTCGTCTCCAAATGGCCGCTCTAAAAAGTATTTTTCCATAAATTTAAGAGATAATTTGAATGATTCAAAGTACTGAGTAAGTAATGAGTACTTAATATCTTCCAGTAAAAAATGAGCTTCAATTACCTTTCCACCTGCTAAATTGGACCGTGGTGCACCACCAACATAGAGCACGCTACCATTTCTCTGGAAAATACCAGATTCAACGCTATACCCTGAAAAAAACAAACAACATTAAGATTACCGGTTAGAGGACTCGGCAATAACCAATTAGATTTACAGGTACTCCACCAAACTGGAGCTATAGCTTAAAAGCTAAAATCCAACATTATCATATCCCTGTGGTGACTGATTAAGAGTGTCACCACCCCGTAAGAGCCGACTAAGGGAGAAAACTACGCAGGACAGCAGCACTGCAAAGTATAGGCAAACTCCCGTCTGGCTAGCGTGGTGTAGTAGGCCAAAACCTTTTTTCTAAGGAGATGCCTATATCCAGCGGTCGACGATTTAATGCTGTTGATAATGATCCCTTTCCTACAATTGCTTTCCTCTTAAGTCGTCATTTTCTTTTAATACTCCCCATTTTTCGATCTAATCCTTAAAGTATGGCCATAGAATTATCCTATGGCAATAGACTTATCCTAAATTACGTAAGAGGGATAATTTAAATTTTGCTAAATGTGGGTATTTTAATGCACCTCTCTATACGATCTACTTGCCATAGGGGCTTGAGTGTGTGTGTATGTGTATATAATTATGTAAGATCTAAAACATATTGTTTTCATGTTTATGTAAAACATACTGTATGTGAAACTACGTGAGCAATTTTGGAGTAGGTAGAGTTAATAATAAGCTGTCTAAGTTTATCTATCAATAGAAGTTCCAACGTTGACGAATTCTCAGTGGGATAAAAGTTAAGTTTGTTTTCAAGACTACTTTTAGAATCTAGTTATTGGAATTTAATCAAAGACACAACTTCTGTCTGACACGATTTTATTAGTTCTAATTGTAACTAACTGTGTAAAAAAAAACGACGGGTTGCACTCCGGGAGTGCCGGCAGAAGTGAAAACTTGAATATTAACGTTGTGCATTTTTGATATTTTGGAATGGTTAGGGAATAATTTTGCACGAATTGCTTTAATTATCAGTATAAAAGTACTATCATTAAATATTTATATTTTTCAGTAATATACTTTTTTTTTTACATGTGGAAACCACCTCGGGCCGTCACCTCACCGGGTTTTACGGCGGGGTGGTGTGTCGGAATCGGACCGACTAAAACCACACGCTGTGCCACTCTGCGCCTGTAATAGGAGGGATCCGGAAACTGCTGTTATTAAGACATCCGGACTCCTCCGAGCGCCTGCCTACAATGGCGCGGGCACCACCTTCGGGTACATTATCTAATTAGGCGACGTCCGACCCACAGTAATATAGTAAGCCATACTTCGGCATAAATAGGTTGGTTTGCCGGCCAAATCAACCTATTTATGCCGAAGTGATAGCACGTCGTTAAGTAATTATTTGAATGTGCAGGTGACTCAAAGGGCAGCAACAAATTTGTGACTCTTAGTTGCAGTCTTTGTGCGACGGTAGTCACTTACCATTGGATACCGTCTGCTTATCTGCCTTTTACCATAAAGATTAGGTTAGTAACAATGGTCTGAGGATGAAGAAGAGAAAATTCTTCTTATCCGAATGCTTATGTTTTTTGGGTGTAGGTATGTAGGTATATACTCGTAAGTATGTGATATCTTTTTCGCACGCTCTGTAGTCTGTTAACGGCTTGATGGATTTCACCTCGGAAGGTGTCCTTATATTTGTCCTAATTGTGCAAGTGACACTGGGTAAGTATGAAAATCATAAAAAAAAACATAGGACGCAGTCAAATCCTCATAGGTAGTGTAGGATGCCCACAGGCCAGGTGAAGTGGCGATTTGCGCAAGATGGCTGGCAGGAGCTGGATGCGAGAAGCCCAAAATTGATCTAAGTGGCGTGCAATGGGAGAGGCCTATGTCCAGCAGTGGACTGCGATAGGCTGATGATGATGATGATAAAAACCAAAATCGCCTGTTTATATATTTTAACCTACCTGTACATTATCACTCAGTTTTAACTGGTTTATCATTAGTGTTATTTTTAAAAAACTATTATTGTTAAAACTTACCAAAATAGTCATCTGGTTCCAAATCCATTGTGTAATATGGATTGACAATCGGCTGAAGATTTGTATACGGAGTAGAATCGTTTGGATTAAAACTATAAGTGACAACGCCACCTGCAAAATATTTACAATAAAACAAATTTGACTTTTCATGTAGAAAAATTACAAAATAATTTCACTACCCATCATTCACTTTGTCAAACTTAACTATACATTCACAGAAAACTTTATTAAGCCAGATAAAGTTTTCTGTGACTTTTTACTTAATAATAATTTAAAAATATTTTTCAGATTTAACTTTAAATTGAGCGCTTTGAAACTTGTTAAAGTGATTTAATGCTTGGACCTTGGCATTTCAACTCGAAACAACTCGAAAATATAATTTCAAGCATTATTTTGTAAAGCTGCTTAAGCGCTGTTGCAGCTCTCTGCGCATAAAAGAAGTTTTCTTTTTGTAGTTTCACTTATAGATTGTTTTCAATACTAGTCTGTGGTTATAATAAGTTTACCTGTCCATTGCAATAATCCTGGAGCTCCAAGCACAATAGTGTTGAGTTTTGTGACCGCCATTGAAAATCCAACTTGCCCATGCGCATAATAATACAAATGAGTCTTCGTTGCACCATACTGCCTTCTAGATCCATCCGTCACAAAAGCTTGGTGACTAATTCTACCACCTGTAAAACATTTTTTTTAATCACTTGTTTTATCATTTAAATAAATTGTAGACTAAAGAAATTTAAATATACAGTATAAATATTAACATGTTGCGGTACGGAAAGCTATACAATGTCAGTTCAAGTTATAATGGACCATGAATAATGAATCAAAATCGAGATTTGACCACCGGTGATCTCAAATTTAACAAACTTTTAGAAGATCATTTTATTCTTCAGACCAGGTGGAGTGACGATTTGCGCAAGATGGCTGGCAGGAGCTGGACGCGAGAAGCCCAAAATCAATCTAAGTGGCGTGCAATGGGAGAGGCCTATGTCCAGCAGTGGACTGCGATGGGCTGATGATGATGATGATGATTTTATTCTTAAGTCAGTTATGTGGCGGTTTTTATAGTTAAGATAATAATTATAGCTTTACAGTGCAGTTGAACATCGAACTAATATGAAACAAGAAATGTTGGAGAAACAAATTCAAGTTTTTGCCACTTAAACAAGGGCGGCGTTGAAGAGAATGTGAGTCATAGAAGAACTCAAAGAAGTGGAAATTATATTTATTATCACTTCTTGAGAAGCGGGGATTTCTTTATAAATAATATTCTTTTCCAATCAATAAATAATATCCATACAACTTGAAATTATCATACTATTTAAAACTCAACAAGACTCTAAGGTTTATCTTTTTATTATTGCTGAGTGTTATTAGATTATTTTTAAAATTATTTTAATTTGACTTTTCTTGTGTAAAATTTACAAAATAATTTCACTGCGCCTGCAAAATAATGCTATGTACTCGTACATCATTTACTTTGTCAAACTTAACTATACAGTCACAGAAAACTTTATCCAGCCAGATACAGTTTTCTGTGACTTTTTACTTAATAATAACGAAAAATAATAAAGCAAATATTACTGTCTGCCAAAGGATCCAGCATCCTCGATCTTCTCGGTGATAAACAATAACCGGATCCGTGAAGAAGTAAGTTTTTTGAATCATAATATGTCTTTGATCTTGGCGCTGTTACCTGTAAACGTATGTTAAATATTATTTTAATATTCATATTTCAAAATGGACGTCAAGACTTTCACTTGTGCAGCTAATTTGGTAAGGTAGCGGTAAGGTAGACCGCAGTGAAATTTTTTTAATGGAAAAATGGGCACGAGATCAAATGAATCTGATCAAACCTGATGAAAAGTGACTACCGCCGCGGCAACGCACTTGTGTCTTTAAATGCTTTGCCGTACTTTAAGTGTCCCCAGTGGGAGTCAGGGAGGGAGGGAAGCGGTTACTGGGTCTTCGCTGATCTCACTCACTCTGTGAAACGTAACAAAAGAATAAGAGGGAAGGGAGGATCTGGCTAACGGTAATCGCATTCACTTGGCAACAAAGGATTTTTTTTCCATTAATAACTACTATACTACTAACTGTTATTGTGAATCCACTCAGTGAGCAATAGAATAAATCTATCGCAATTTTATTCAGAGTGCGTAGTGCGTGCTTCAGCGGTGCTTCGATTTGCAGGTTGGTGCGCCCACACGGGACAGCCATCAGCTGCAGCCAACATATGCTGACTCGTCCTAACAAGTCTGAATTATGTATCCCACCCCTAAGTACCCTGAACAGGTACGAGACGAGTGTGGGTGCCCTTCTGACCCTCAGTCTGTTGTATCCCACCATACGCAGAATAAACAACGTGCGATACGTTAATAGATACAAATAGGTGAAGTTATTGGGGAAGAGGGGGATCGGCCTCCGGTAACACACACTTTACACTCGGTGTAAAGTAACGAAGGAAGTGCTTAACACCAGTTTTTGTGATGCCGCAGTATCACTTATGTCCAGCCTGTCATTACATACCGAAGTGTGATTTTCCCACTATTTTTAAATTACCTAGTTAATAAAAAAATCGTACCAAAAGTCTGTTGTTCGTGAGTGACGCCATTGAGGCCCCAAACCACATGTCGTGCCTCAGATCATACGGCATAAACAGTTGACTTCCACTAACTCTTGATCCCAGATGATCACATATAACTTGCTTTGCATCCAAGTTCTGGAGTGGACACACAAAAACAACTCCAGTTGTGTCTTTTAATCTGTTTTCCGCTTTTGGTGCTCCAACGAAGAGTCTGAAAATTTTACTAACTGTTTATTTGAATAAGGCACCTGTATATTGAGACACCTTATATTACAGAGATACACTTGTCTATCCTTACTGTTAATGTTATTTGTGGTTTATCAGAACAGCGTTCGATCAATAATGAACATATACATACAAATATACAAATATACACATACATACATATAAAAAGTCCACAGTCCGTGTAAAAGTACAGTCAGTGTAACAGTCCGTGTAGTGACGGATTAAGAATACGGAATTCATCCCGAGGGTGTCGTAAGAGCCGACTCAGGGCGCAAAACAATGCAGGTCATCAGCACTGCAAAAAGAAGGAAAACTTGACACAAACCCTATACCAACCCCGTCTGGCCAGTGTGGTATAGTAGGCCAAAACCTCCTTTCTAAGGAGAGGCCCATGTCCAGCAGTGGACTATTAAAGGCTGTTGATGTGATGATGTGATGACATATAAAAATAAAAATATACATTATTCACAAAATTCTAAATTCTAAAATATTTTTTTCCCCTGAATCTAGGGTAAATTATCCTCCATTATAAATTCAATGTGTTTCTACGATCTTCAGATTAACATTAATAGTAAACAATTTGACATAAGTTAAGTATGACGTCACGCCTTAGTATTTCACGCAAAAATGTACTGTGTCTATTGTTTTGCCGTTAAATTAAAAATACTGATTCGACTTAAGACCTATTCAAATTCTAATCATATTAAAAAAAAACTATTACCTATTCTTAACAAACAGTCATCCTCGGTATTATTGCAATCCATTAAATAATTTTTCCTAGAAGCATATTGTTATTTGTAACTTCTTTGTAATAACTTTAATAGAAACTTTAAATATGTCCATTCAATTTTTTTTACAAAATATGTACGTAATTAGTTAATCATCAGTCATTGACACATCGACTAAAACTTGTTGCTAATTTCACTATTACGAGTAATCGATGTTCTAACAGGTAGGATGAGGATTGCGGCGAGCGCGTTGCGAAGCGCGCTCGAGTCCAGGCAGCAAAGGGAACATGGGGGTCGTCTACTTGTTGTAGATGGCCCGAGGTATGTCGGGGCACCAGGAACTTCCTTTCTAGGGTATACCTGTTTCCCCGGCTATTAGTACATGAGACGGCGTGCGGTTTTAGTCGGTTCGAGTCCGACATGTCACCGATAGGTGGTGTCCGAGGGGGTTTCCGCACGGAAAAAGAAAAGGTAGGATTAGTTAATTGATTTTGAATCAGTTGTATATTGTTAAAAAGCAAAAGCAGCAATGATTGTTTTGTGTGTATTATGTCTATCTTTCTTTGTTTTATTTATGTACTGTAATAATACTAGTCTCTAAGAATATTGTTACTAACAAATTGGACACCATGGTCTGCAATAAAAAGTTTATTATTATTGTTATAAAAAACCATTTAAGCTTCTTTTTTTAAGTCTTGAGAATGTTGTTTGCCCTTTAATATTTTGTTTTCATATTGATTTTTTAATCTAGTCAGAAAAAAAAAAAAAATGATTTACCATATTCCATGGAGTATGGAACATTTCTACTTAATTTCATTTCTATGACTAAATTTCACCCATATTAGTGAAATATTAATAATAACTTCATACGTCTGACGAAGGGCCATCTGATCCCAAACTAGATAGAGCCTATACTATGGCAACCAGACTGCTGTGAAACATGCTTACACATACATGCTTACACGTGGTGACGGATTAAGAACACAGACTGTCATCACCCCTATTCATCCCGTGGGTGTCGTAAGAGCCGACTAAGGAAGTAAACTACGCAACACAACAGCATTACAAAGAGAAGGAAAACGTGAATCAAACCCTATACCAACCCGTCTGGCCAGCGTATTATAGTAGGCCAAAAACCTTCTTTCTAAGGAGTGGCCTATGTCCAGCAGTGGACTAGTAAAGATGATGATGACACATATATTTTTAAATACTTACACATCCATATTTATATTAAAAAATGTGAAATTGAATTTGTTTGTTACGCTTTCACATCTAAACAAGTACACGAATTTAAAAAAGTCTTTCACCATTGGCAAGCTATCAGCGAGTAACATGTTTTTTACTGCGATAACCGACTAGCGGGCGCAGCCACAGGCAAAAGATTGTTTATTATAGATAAATTAGACCCAAATACAAAACAAATCATCATGCTCAATACACTGTTATTTGTCCTGAGTGGGGATCGAACCCACGATCTTTAGCTTAGCAGTCACTACTGGACATTAGCTAAAAAAATATTATTTTTTCTCCTTTGAACATGGATTTTTTTGTGGACAAATGGTGCGTGTAATTTAATGCACAAAACTAAAGTTAAAAGAAAATGTTACCTGTTATCCTTCAATAAAGTTGAATATCCAAAATACTCATTAGAAGCTCCGAGTTCATTAGGCTTAAAGATAATTTTTGTATTTTCATGGTAAATAAAACTTGGACTAACAACGAAAAAATTTGGTAGAAACGAAATATATATTAACAGTCGTGTTATTATCGTTGGACCCTTAGTCGCCATTGTTGTTTGTTAATGATATTATTATATGTAAACACCTGAAAGTTTAAAAAAAAACATCAATATGATGACAAATTAAAAATAGTAAAAATAATTTATCCAAACGAAGCAGAGCCTGTGCTACGGTAACCCGACAGATGATAAACATACTAATATACATTTCTAAATACATACATATTATAAAAACATCCAGGAACAGAACAAAATATAATCATGCTCATCACAGTTATTTGTCCTGGGTGGGAATCGAACCCACGACCTCTGGATTAGCAGTCAAGATGCTGCAGAACCACTATGCCAACAAGGCTGTAAAAATAAGTTCAATCTAAATTCAAACAAAAATAAAGTTAAAATGTTGACTTAGGGTAATTTTTATAGCGAACATGGGGTTCCCACACGGGGGGGTCGTCTACTCGTCTGTAGATGACCCGAGGTATGTCGGGGCACCAGGGACTTCCTTTCTAGGGTATACCTGGTTCCCCGGCTATTAGTACCCGAGACGGCGTGCGGTTTTAGTCGGTTCGAGTCCGACATGCCACCATGGTGGTATCCGAGGGGATTTCCGAACGGAAAAAAAAAAAAGGGTAATTTTTATACCCGTACAATAACTTTATGTTCACTACATTACGAATTATATCGTTTTATTAAACAGAATATTAAAAATCACGTATATACAATGCAAAATAATAAATTAAAGGGACAAAACTTATCTAGCGTGTTCATAAATGCATTTAAAATCACGCAATACTTAATGTATACAGCATAATTAGTTCATTAGTAAACATCGTTATCGTTTTAATGTGTAAATTATTTTCGTACCAAAAATCTGTACTAAGACAAATAAATTGTTTTCTTGGTAAAATCAAGGTAAAACGCACTAATCTCTGCAACTAGCAAACTAATTTGGAAAGTTATTTTTGCATTCAATTGCTATTTCTTATAGATAACTATATGATATATTTTTAAATCTATTGTGAATGGAAAATTAGATGTCCTTAGGGCCCGAAAGACGTGTACTAACTAACCCGTATGTACTAGTAACCGGTGAGTGTGAATAAAAGCGTGGTGTTAGTGGTGGTGTATGTAAAATTTTTGGAAGATAGTGTCCTGTCTTCTCTGCTTACCCCGTACGAGAATAAAGCGTGAATAAATCCATGGATGTCTATATGAAACAGCGAACAACGGTTGGTAAAATATCAAATCTTCTTACCTGACGCTTAAATTCCACCTAGTTAATTTATAGCGAATCACTTTTCGTCCACACAAATTGTTTATTTAAAATCCTTGTTCACATAAAAGTAATGTTTATACTACACTATTTGAATACTGTCAATAATTTAACAATACAGTGTCACTTGATAACTGCCACTGTAGGACTGAGCCCTTTTACTGTCGTTCACACAATCGTGCTACATTAAGTTATTACTATTAAGTAGAAAATTAGTCACTTTGTGACATATTGTGTATGCAAATATGTTTCGTTTCTAACCTATTATCTAAATCATAACGGTCATTATTTTAATCACCTATTTTGTCAAACTTGGGTAGGAATTATTCGAAGAATAATAATCTCATACATCTCACACACGACCGTCTGATACCAAATATACTTATAAAAATACTTACTAGCTGACCCGGCAAACGTTGTATTGCAAAACAAAAAAAAATTAGGGATGGGTCACCCTTACCATTTAGGGGTATGAAAAATCGATGTTGGCCGATTGTCAGACCTACCCGATGTGCACACAAAATTTCATGAGAATCGGTCAAGCCGTTTTGGAGGAGTACGGGAACGAACATTGTGACACGAGAATTTTATATATAAGATTATTACATACATATTAAAGATAAATTACACCCAGACACAGAACAAATGATCGCGCTTATCACACATTTATTTTTTATGAGTGGCAATCGAACACACGACCTCTGACGAACTTAACTAACCACTGTCTAAGTTAAATTACAATAAATTGCAAAAAACTGTTCTCTTTATTCCTTTTATTTTCATTCTTGTGGCAAATTTCTTTAAATTTGAATGGGATCAAAATTAAAAAGAAAAGTACCAAATTAAAAAAGTATACAATCGAATTGAGAATCACCTCATTTTTTTAAAAATCGAGCTCACCTCCGAGTAAATTGTACCTCTCAAAAATTTCACCACTTATTTTGTCAATCTAGCGTGGGAATATAAACATTTGATAAGCCTATTACTTTAGTGGCTAATGGCTAATCATTAACTGTGGGAACACAAATGAGCAGGATCGACCGGAGTGATACCACGGCCTCACAGAAAATCTGTGTTGGGCAATTTTTTCGTTTCTTTTCACCGAGTGATATACACGCGGGCGGTGCCGGGGGTAAAAGCTAGATTTGATCATCATCATCATAGGAAATAGACCTCTCCTATTGCACGCTACTTCGAACGATTTGTATAATTAATATATTTTCTCATTTGATAAAACTATGTGTGTGTATGTAAACTTATTATTTTTAAATACATACACATTTATTTAAATGAACATGTTGAATAACTGTGGAGCAATTTTATACAAAATGATTTACCGTGTTTAGTATGATACTTACCCAAAAAAAGTAATGATAGTTACATTCTAAATATTAAATAATATTACAAGTTAAAGTGACTCATAGTATGATAATAAACAGGACATGAGTGGGTGCATAATTGTAATAACTGATTATGACTTCCAAGAAATTTATAAAACTGGTATCTGGAAATTGGTATCTGGTTTTTAACAGCATCTGTATCTTAATTTCAAAACTAACTTGAAAAAAAAACAATAACCAATTGAAGTAAACCGTATTCTTTTTCCTGAATTTTAATCTTTAGGGGTAGATATTTTGCTCCAAATTAATACCGGACCAGATAAATGGAACCAATCGGTAAGCTTTTTTTATTTTCAAAGAAAAATTATTATTTGCCGAGTCGTTGACGGAGTTCTGAGGTATTTCAACCCAACATTTTTTTTTTGGGTTTCGAGTAACAGTTATGCGATGGAATGCCTAATTCCTGATCAATTTATGGTATTTTATTTTATGTTTCATTCCGAATCAAGTGCAGTAGAACTGGTGAGACATTTTTAATTCTTACTAGTTCGACCGTCCAACTAGTGAGAAAAAAAAATCTCACTAGTTCGAGGATCGAACTGATGGATCGAAGTGATAAAAAAGTGATAAAAATTTCGTTTATAAATAACTTACTGCTGCACTGTAGTGTTTAGTTCACCTTGCCGCTGAGTTCCTATGTGTTATGAGTTCGATCCCTACATAGGACAACACTATATGTGATCCACAAATTGCTGTTCTGCATTTGCGTGTTCTTTGTGTCCATTCGAACAAATGTTTGTAAAGTCCCCCGCAACAAATTAAATATTTTAAGTTGCCTTTATTTTTTTATATAAAGGTGTGTGACCCTGACCTGCGCAAGCTATTGCCCCCATTCCCCAATAAATTCATATCACCAATACCTCTTTTCTTTAGATGCATTCCCTTCTCATCTATGATATATTTTACAATACCAGGAGCTTTCCCAGCGAGGTTTCCCTGCTTTGTCTGGTTGTCGCTTATTACGTCATCATCATCAACAGCCTTTAATCGTCTACTGCTCGATATGGGTCTCTTCTTAGAAAGGAGGTTTTAGCCAACTATACCATGCTAACCAGACGGATTGTTATAGGGTTTGTTTTAAGGTATACTTCTCTTTGCAGTGCTGTTGTGCTGCGTAGTTTGCTTCCTTAGTCGGCTCTTACGATACCCACGGGATGAATAGGAGTGGTGACACTCCGTTATTATCCCTTCAGGGATCTAGGCGTAGGCCTTGGTGACTACCTTTTTATTTCACGGCTAAATAACAAAGCTGAACGTGAGGATACAGACGGATTTGGACATCATAGAAAAGAAAAACACAGTTAATTTAGTCATTTTCTATTATATTTATAGGAAATTAGCAATAACTTTTAAATATGATACAATTTATTTCAAAGACAATCTATAACGTGTAACACAACCAGTTTAAACTACTTCACTTATGTACTAAATATATACAAATTAACTTAACATTAAATGAGCAAACTGATATCTTATGTTCTTCATTTTAGGGTCGTATTTACATTGACTTGCTATTTAGTCTTTTATTATAAACAGTTATCATTTATTATAAAATGATAAAAGTTAAATAACTTACAAAAGCATATTATTATTTCTAAAGGCAAAGATACCATAGCCCCCTAAATTTAAGGATCAATCTAGATTGAGACAGGTGTACTAAATATTTTCTTTTAATTTGAATAAGATCTATCGATTATAATCAACTTTATTAAATAGTAACTATAAAAACCAGTTCACAATACTACTAACGAAGATATATACGAAGATACACGCGGAAAAATAAATAGATTTTAGGGAATCCTGGCTTTTAAAGTTGGGAAAATAATAATAATAACTTCACACATCTCACGCACGGCAGTGTGGTCCCAAACTAGGCTGAGCCTGGCTATGGTAACAAGCCTGCTGATAAACGTACTTATATATTATATATTATACATACACATTATAGATAAATTACATCCTTTTTTTCCCTGTGTGTAAATCTTCTCGGATACCACCCACCGGTGGGGTGATTATGTCGGACTCCAACCGACTAAAAACTGCACGCCGTCTCGGTTATCAGTAAGCGGGGAACCAGGTGTATCCAAGAAAGGAAATCCCTAGTACCCCGACATACCTCGGGCCATCTACGGTGTGTTGATAACCCCCTCCTGTGTGAGAACCCCCATGTTCAATTTGCGCTCACGAAAGGACAGATGGAGACAAATTACACCCAGGCACAGAACAAATTAATGATCGTGCTCATTACAAAATATTTGTCCAGTCAGGGTCACTAACTACAGGCCTGTCAATATGATTTTACTCGCAATCTGTTTTTGTAGTATAGAGAGGGAGAAGCAAACAGATCACCTGCTGTGATGCTGCTTACAGATATCCAAAACTTAAGAGCCAAGTGTATTTCGTATTAGTATATTTCCCCTCTCCTCTCCCGAATAAGAGGCCGAAACACAGGTCTCCCACGGATAAAATCACTATAAAATATACTATTGAATCATTTTAAAATAACGAACAACAACAACTGATTGTTAAAATTTCCTTGAGATAAATAGATTAAAAAATCAGTTATAACTGACGGATAGATCAATAAATACGAAATATTCTGTTTTATTATGTATGGATATTTCATAGAATAATGTGTGAATAAAACGACCTAAATCATGAGTTCTCTTTTATAAATCTACCTGAAAACGGACATATATATTAGTTTAGAAGATTTAAATGTTCATTTCAAATAAATGAACATTTTGTGACAGCTGTCCTTTTTCATCTTCCTCTTCTCCTTCTGAAGGAGCTGACGGAATAGCGTCCGATAACTGTGATTCATCTCGTGTTTCCTTTTTATCTTGTTCTTGTTTCAGCTGATCGTAATTTTTTCTTGAGAAAAAGTTGCGCTGTAAAGAAACAAATAAATTAGAAAAGGTACCTACAAAACATAAACTATAAAAAAAATAATTATCATGTTTAACGCAGGAATTAATACAGTTTCACGCAGGAGAAAAGTATAAAAAGTTCCATTTAAGCTATATTTATATGTATAACTAGATAAGTATTTTGCAGAGTATCGCGGTCGAATACTTTGAGCACATCTGGTTAAAACGATAGTCTAAACTTGTCACCATACCATTGCAAAACCGATATTCCTATTTAATATACTCTTATCGACGTCTTCTTAATGGCTACTACCTCCATTTCAAAATAATCAGAATGATTCTAATAACCAACTCAGTAGTTTCAGGTCATTTTATTTATTTGTTAAGATATTCTGAATCCAAAGCATTCCAGGCTTTTGCTCATTGTGCAAATTAAGATTATATTAGTCAGGAATATAACTTAATGCAAATCGAAGGTTATGTTAAAGTATATTAGTGTTTATATTTTAAAACAAAATGGCGTCGGCTCAGTAATTCTGGGGTTGCCTCAAAAGCTGCAGCTTAGGTCTAAGTAATTTATTCGGTATTATAATTTCAGCCGATTACAAACACAAATTAATATCTAAATTTCACTTACTTTATGAAGAATCCATGTTATTATTGACAATAAAAATAATCCCAAAAATATACATGGTATAATTATGTACCAGAGAGGAATGCTTGCTCGCTCGAGAACCAATGTTGTAGCTACTTGGTAGCTTCTGTAAAAAGTATTAATCTTTAGAAATTTTTAAAATAAAACCTCAACGACAGAAGCCGTCTTTTTAAACAGGTGGTTCTTGGGCAAGTGCCACTTTCTTAATATTAGCAAGATTATAATTTTCCTATTTTATTCCTAACTATATTTGAGAATAGCGCAGTGTAATGTTGCAAAGAACTGGAGGTGTTTTTTTATATGGCCGGCCGCCTGCCAGGCGCCAACGCTCAATGGGTATGTATTCGTTTTGTGGTGGGACAAAAGGATTTTAAATTAACTATATTGGTTAAGGAAACGGTTTTCCTTACCACAATTTAAATTCCTTTCGGTATGGGACAAGAGAATTAATGTAAAAATATCTCAAGTCTTGGAGGAAAAAAGAGATTGAGGCTGCAGTTGCAGAGACCAGGGTGATTTAACTGTGTATCTGTCTTGTAATTGATCACTTGGACGGGCGATCAACTAACCTGCTGTCTAAATATTAACATTCAAAAAATATTTTTGCAATTTTAGAAAATAAAATCATCTCTCATTATTTATCTTATCTCTTATCTTAACTTATCTCTTATTATTTAATAAATTATTAAAATTTATCTAAATCATGTTGCAGTCTTGTCTTGAAGCAGCTGAATACTTTATGGGTAGTATGAAATATTATGACACAAATGAACATTGAATTTGGACTTGGTGCAAATTTTAGGATGCATCTACCTTTTTCTTTGTCTAAGTCGATGCATGAATTTACAGAGAAAACTAGTCTTACAGTAATCGCAAATGATATGTAACATTTGGCATGTCACCTACCAACTGATACTTGACTGGCTTGTGGGTCTAGTGGTTAGTGACCTTGACTGCTAAGCCGGGGGTCGTAGGTTCTATTCCCACCCAGGACAAATAATCATGTGACAAGCACTTGTTCGGTATCTGTGTGTGATTTATCTATTATATTAATTATTTAGAAATATATAAGTAGGTGTTCTAAGATCGATAGCCTAATTAGGCCTAGTCAGGTGCGGAGTCGATCCGGAAGGGGATTTGAAATCACATGGTCCGGGTTCTCCATAGCCTAGGGCTCCTGTGGCCGGCTGTCGGGATGGTTTTAGGGGAAACACAACATACTCCTGGCTTAAGGAGCCGGTGGACCGTAAGGATTATCCACCCCGTCATCCAAAATTTTGGATTGCTTAGTGTCCGTCTAAAAAGAGCTGTTTAATGCCCAAAATATTATGAATATTAAAATAACATATTGTACTTACGTGTAATTTTCACCATCGTTTGATTGGTCAACCATTAAAACTATTGTAGACACGGCGCTGTAGATCGTTTTGCTTTCAAGGAAATTGCCTAGAAAAATAAAGTGAGGTTCATTTTATGGAAAGCCAATGAGATTTCATATAATTCATCCCGTAGGTGTCGTAAGAACGAACTAAGGGCGCAAACTAAGCAGGATAACAGCACTGCAAAGAGAAGGAAAACTTGTAATGAAATGAAATTATATTTATATCTCCAAGTAAATCTTTGCAGACATTTTTACAAGTCGGGATATTTAAAAAAAAAAAACCTACACCAACCCGTCTGGCCATTTTTAAGGAGAAGCATATGCCTAGTAGTGAACTATGAAAGGCTGTTGTGGAATTAGACCTGACAGTATTTGAGTAAAGTTGATAATATGCATATGTGTTTTATGAAAATAAAAGTACAGTAGTATACAGTGTCGCTTTCAAACTTAAGACAAATCCTCAAACGCTAAAATCTATCAAGCAGTTTAGACTAGGTGCGGAACAAAGAAATAAAATTATAGTCGGGTAATATACCTACCAGCTAGACTAAGGTCCATCTGCAGAGGTATCGCCACTGGTATTGAAGAGTTAGCTGGTACAAACCAGGAACAGATATACAGAGAGTCGTTTTCTTCACAACCTTCAATGTCGTCGGAGAGATATGTCTGAAACATGAAAACTGTAACAGTAAGTTCAATACATTTAAGTCTATGCGAATGTCCTGTACACATTTTCCTATAATCTATACTATCATTTTTCCATACTTATATTAAAAACTTGAAAGTGAATTTTACGCCTAAACCACTAAACCGATTTTTAAAGTTATTTTAGTGGAAAGCCACATCAGTAATGTAGGCTACTTTTTACCTCGTAATACACACAGGCGGAGCCGTGAGCAATAGCTAATAAGAATATATTTGATGACAATGCCATTGTGCGTTATTAGTTTCGATATCTTTAGGAATAATAATATAATAATATTTTTACACATCTCACACGGCTGTTTGATCCCAAGCTGGGCAGAGCCTTTTTTTTTTTTTTTTTTTTTTAACGTGTGGAAATCCCCTCGGACCGTCACCCCTCCGGGGTTTGCGGCGGGGTGGTGTGTCGGACTCGGACCGACTAAAACCACACGGTGTGCCACTCTGCGCCTGTAACAGGAGGGATCCGGGAACAGCTGTTGTTAAGACATCCGGACCCCTCCTAGCGCCAGCCCGCTCCTGGTGCGGGCTCCGTCTCAATGTGGATGTTCCTCTCTTTAGGCGACGTCCGGCACACGCGGACGCCGCCCCCTCGCGGCTGGCCAACTAATGCGGGTGGAGGGGAAACCCACCCCGTCCACCCGCGGCCACACTCAGGGCGGCATGAGGCTGTGGTAGGCGGGCCTCCGCCGCCCGGTTCGCCGGCGGCGGATCGGGTCCGAGTGGAGGTCGTCCTCCCGGGCCCTTTCCGCCGCCTCCTTCCGCGAGATTACTACCTCGCAGAAGGTTGCGACCGCGGTAAAACAACTGTCGCTACCGGCCATGGAGCGTACTACGGCCGGTAGCGAGAGATCCACTCCGATGACTGCAGTGAGGGCCCGGCGCTGCGCCGCCCATGCGGGGCAGACCGCCAGCGTGTGCTGGGCCGAGTCCTCACTGCAGTCGCAGTGGTGGCAGGCGGGACTCAGTTCCCTCCTAGCGACCGTGTGCAGGTACCTTCCGAAGCAACCGTGCCCGGAAAGCACCTGCGTCAGTCGGAAGGAAAGGGTCCCGTGCTGCCGCCCTGCCCACTCGGCGATGACCGGCTGGAGAGCCTCCACGGCGGCGAAGCCAGCGCGTGGAGTCTCCAGCCGGAACGACCAACGAGCCATCGTGGCTCGGCGAGCGGCTTCGCGCCACTCGCGCACATCCTCGGGCGGAGGGCGAAATCCGCTCTCCGCCCGGTAGTCAGCCACTCGCCGATAAACTTCGGCGAGCACTTCCGCCTCCAAATCCCACGGGGGAGTTCCGGCCAACGCGCACGCCACATCCGTCGAAACGGTGCGGTAACCGCGTATGGCTCTGACCGCCATTACCCTCTGAGGGCGCCAGAGGCGTACCCTATTCTGGGCGGTCAGAGCCGCCGCCCACACCGGTGCACCGTACAGTGCCATTGACCGGACAACCCCCGTGTACAGCCGTCTTGTCGCGACGCTGGGTCCACCCATATTGGGCAAAAGTCGCCCTAGGGCAGACGCAGCGCCGACCAGCTTTGGAGCAAGCTGTCGGAAGTGCTCGTCGAAGAGCCACCTCCCGTCGAGGATCAGGCCCAGATATTTCATCTGGGCCCGAACCGGTACGAGGACCGAGTTGACCACGATTGAGGCGCCAGGGGGTGGACCACGACGGGGCCCATGGAATAAACAGGGCCTCCGTCTTATCTAGGGCCACCCGTAAGCCCAGCGCCTCAATGCGCCCGACCACCAGGGAGACTCCCCCTGTGGCCAGGCGCGCCGCCTCTTGGAAGTTTGCCCCCCGGGCTGTCACGAGGGTATCGTCTGCGTAACAGATTACACCCAGCCCGGGGGGGAAATCGGCGCGAAGGGCCCAGTCGTACCCTATGTTCCACAAGAGGGGTCCAAGAACAGACCCCTGTGGAACACCGCACGACATGGGCCGACACCTCAGATAACCTTCTCGGTCCTCGTACACGACGGTACGCTCCTCTAAATAGTCTGCCACCAGCCGCCTCAGGTACTTTGGCACCCCATGATAGTGGAGTGCTTCCCTGATGCAGCTGAATGGCAGACTATTGAATGCGTTGGCGATGTCCAGTGACACCGCCAACAGCACGCCGCCACAGCTCACGGCCTCTTCGGTCACGGCCCTCAGGCGCAACACGGCGTCGACTGTCGAACGCCCCGCCCGAAAACCAAACTGGGCGTCCGACAGATCGGGGCCCACCTCGCAGAGGTGCCGGACGATGCGGGCAGAAAGAACCCTCTCAAACAATTTGCCCGCCTCGTCCAGCAGCACGATGGGCCTATAGGCCGCGACCGAATCGGCTGGCCGTCCCGGCTTCCTCAATAGGACCAGCTTCCCGCTTTTCCAGCACTCAGGGAAGCGTCCCGACGCCAAGCTAGCGTCGAACACCTCCCCGAGGCGGTCTGCCATGTGGTTGAGGGCCAGGGCCAGCACTCGGGCCGGTACCCCGTCTGGCCCAGGGGCGGTGTTCTTGGAACGGATCCGTAGAACAGCCGCCCCTACCTCCGAATCCCGGACGGGCGGAACATTGTCCTCCCCGTGCTCCCCGTCGTCTCCGGCCAGGGAGGCCATCGACGGGGGAGTGTGTTCCGCTCGTTGTGGGAAAAGGCCCTCAACCACTTCTCGCAGGAAGCTGGGCTGGAGAGTCTCCGTAAGGGGGGGGCCCGACGCGCGGAGCTTTTGTCGCACCGCGCGGTAAGGGCGACCCCAGGGGTCACGATTAAGACCCTCCAGCATCTCCTGTCTCTTTTCCTCTTTGGCGCGGCTAATGGCCAGCTTCAGAGTTTTCCGCGCCCGCCGGTACTCCTCATGAAGCCGGTCCTCCTCACCGTCTCCACGGTGACGCCGCCGACTGCGTGTGTAGGACCTCCGGGCACGTGTACAGGCCGCACGGAGGTCCGCCAGCTCCTGGGAAGCTGGGCAGAGCCTGTGCTATGGTAACCTGATATTTAAATGGTTAATTAAAATGACAGGTATTCAAATGTTGATTTCTTAAAGCTTATCTGAGAGCGGAATTCTTGGGTCATCGATCATCATCATCATCAACAGCCTTCATTAGTCCACTGCTGGACATAGACGTGAGGTCTATCAGATCAAGAGTAAGTCCAGAAGTTACTTAGAAAGGATATATTGACCTACTTAGTTACTTATTTTCTTTCTTTTTGTAGTGCTGTTTTCCTTCCTGCGTAGTTCCCTTAGCCGGCTCTTACGACACTCCGTATTATAAATCCGTCACCACACGGATAATTCCCTAAAGTTTGCTGTCATACGATTTGTTTTGTCGAGTTTGATAACGATGAAAGGAGAGAGATTGACAATGAAACCAGAAAATTGACAGTAGAACTCCTTTTCCCTTTATCATTCAGGAAATCAGGAAACTAGCATTAATCAATTATTTTGTTGTTATTTTTTTTTTTTTTTTTTTTTTTTAGTTATACTTCCTGCATTATAATTTGCATGATGCGGACATTAAGTCCGCCTCATAGCCTTTTTTGCCTGTATACCTTTAGACTGTTCAGTAAGGGACATGGCATGGACATTTTCATAGAGCGACCGAGGTTACCGGAGACCCAAAACCCTAATTCGGAATAAGACACACAAAGGGTGACAACACATTTGGGTCTGTAGAGTTACAGGTGTCTATTAGCAGTGGTAATAGCTTAACATCAGGTGACTCATCTGATCGTTTGCCACCTATTCGGGTCACAAGCTTTAAGTTTTTTAAATTAATTAGTACATACCTTGTAAGGAATTTGAATATGCACTTTCGGGGAGTACGAGTCTGAGGGTCCTGTGTTTGTTATCTGAAATAACATAACCTTATCTTAGATTACTTTAAGAAGATTAGATTAAGCTGTGAACATCTCAGAATAATAATAATAACAATAATAACTTCATACATCTCACACGCGGCTGGGCTCTGCCTAGTTTAGGATCAGATCCTGTGCTTTGTTGGCATGACCGCTGATAAACATATTTCATCATCAGCCTATCTCAGTCCACTGCTGGACATAGACCTCTCCCATTGCACAAACATACTTATATATTTCTCAATACATACATAGCAATATATATGTATATGCATAAAGAATAAAGTATTTATTGCTAAATTGTCTCCTTTATTATGGATCAAGTCCCCATAAACTTGTTGGTTGCATTTAAAAAAAAAAAAAAAAAAAAAAAAAAAAAAAAAAAAAAAAAAAAAAAAAAAAAAAAAAAAGCAAAATAAATTACTAAAGTAAAAAATAAGATTTATTATTCTTATTTATGTGGTCACAGAACTGTACAATATATGATTTGATGACTATGAATCACGAAAGGTATTATTCCAAAAGGTAGTTGGTTCGAGACTATAGACGTAGACTACCAGGCAGACATACAAATAGGACTAATATAAAGACACTTCACTTGCTATTCTTGCCCCATTAACATGTATGTCACTGCACACCCAGGCTTTTCCCCTTATGGGAACATGTTATCATCAATTTGATCAAAGTATATTCAGTGTGGTCGTCCCCTAATAACTTGCCTGCTAACTTTGTCATCATCATTATCAACAGCCATTACTAGTCCACTGCTGAACATAGGCCTCTCCTTAGAAAGGAGGGTTTGGCCTACTATACCACGCTGGCCAGACGGGTTGGTATAGGGTTTGTTTCAAGTTTTCCTACTTTTTGCAGTGCTGTTGTCCTGCGTAGTTTGTTCCCTTAGTCGCCTCTTACGACACCCACGGGATGAATAGGGGTCATGACATTCCGTATTCTTAATCCGTCACCACACGGACGAATGAACTTTGTCAGTTACCTAAAACCTCAGCACACCTTTTCATGCTCACCATCAACAGCCTTCAATAGCACACGGCTAGACATAGGCCTCTCCTTAGAAATAAGGTTTTAGCCTACTATACCACGTTAGCCACATAGTAGGCCAAGATCTCCTTTCCAAGCAGAGACCTATGTCCAGCAGTAGACTATTACAGGTTGTTGATGATGATGATGATTGTTGCCAAGATGGGTTGGTATAGGGTTCGTATCAAGGGGTGCTGGGCTAGAAAACCTCCTCGTGGTGCACCCTGGAAACGCTGGCGATGGTACTGTTCCCTCCTTGTCCTCTTGGAGGAGAGGATTATCGCCAGCGGCCAATATTCTAGCAGAAGAGGCAGCCGTTCATCGGCTCTCGGGCAAGGCCTGGTCCAGCAGGGTGGGCGTGTCTGCCGGTTGCCCTGCTGGCTCTTCGCTCTTCGGAGCATGGAGGAGGAAACCTCGGTAAAAAACCTGATGGCGGGGCCCTGTAGGGGCCACAGTTTCTCCGCTGACAGCGGTGGAGAAAGGAGGACGGGCTCGGCGTGTACTCACACTAGCACCGAGCAGGCAGGGGGACGTAGTCTCCCTGTCAAATCCCGAGAAGAGCGCTGTGGTTAAGTCTCGCGGCTCTGATCGGGGGCGAGGGTCTTGGCTTAACCGCCCGGACCGCGAGGAAGATAACCTCTCTAAAAAATTCCCCGAATCCCGTGTTCTGGTGCGTGGCCAGGGGATGCATGGCTGATGGGAAGTTCAGTCGCGAGCGCACTCCAAGCCGAGGTACCTGCGGACCCCTCGGTTTTGTTAAAAACTTACGCTTGCCCGGGTAATGGGGGATCTCTGCCCGGGTGGACCTTTAGTTCTCCCCCACTCGTGGGATTTATTATGGATAATGATAAGCAAAACATTCAGAAACCGATCGGAAAACAAACCAAAACGAAAAAGGCAAGTCAAACGGACACGGCAACGAGGAAGGAGAAGAAGAACAGTGGAGTCGATGGGTCGTCCACTGAGGGTGAGGTGGCGTCGGGAACGCCCATCTCGATGGGGCTCCCAAAAGTCAGTCTGACTCTGATCTCTGGGAGCCGAAGAGCATCGGATCGGCTGCGCTCCGGATCCGCCGCTTCGTCGGATGGCGCGGAGGCCATGGAAGCGGAGCGAAGCGACAGCCGAAAACGCGGACGCTCAGGGGACGTGGAAACCGACACGTCCGGCGAAATGATGCCACCAAAGGTGGCAAGCAGCCGCCGAGGGAGGGCGCGTAAACCGGCCTCGGTCTCGACCCCGTCAGGCTCCGCGTTCTCAAACGCGGAGTCCTACAGGAGCGTGCGAGTGGACGGCGAGGCCGTAGCGGAGGAGGAGATCGCGGATCTCCTGCTCAAGGTTCGGGAGCCGGTGGGGGGAAATGCCCCCCAGGCTCCCGTGTCCGTGCAGGAGAGGGCGAAAGCGGCGGTGGCCGTCATCCAAAAGGTGGCCACCAAGTCCGTAAACCTAAAGGGCTCGTTTGTGAGGGCCCTTAAGGACTCCTCCTCCGCTTTGTCGGAGGTCGTGGAGGGCCTGGTGGGCGATGTCTCTCGCCTACAGTTGGCCAACGAGAGACTCACGGAGCGGGTGAACGAGCTGAGCGCTCAGTTCGCCCGCTTCCAGGCGAACCTCCCCGAGCGGGAGGCCCCGTCCGCGCCCCCCCCCTGTCCCTATCGCGACCTCAGGGGTACCTGACGCCCAACTGCGGTCAATTCTCGACGCAGTTGGGCGTATGCTGGACGGCCGTCTGGCCGGCCTGGAGGCGAGACTGCCCCCTGCGCCGGTCGTGCGCCCCCCGCTCGCGTCATCGCAGCGGCCTGAGGCCGCTGCGCCAACCGCGCTCCCCGTGGTGGGAGGCCGCGTCTCCTACGCGGCGGCGGCGTCGGCCCCGACTCCACCGGCTCCCCAGGGGCCGAGGATAGGGGCCAAGGCACCGGCCCAGGCGCCAGTCAAGGCGCCGGCCAAGGCGCCGGCCAAGGCGCCGGCCCAGATGCCGGCCAAGACGAGGCCTAAAGCGGCGCCGAGGAGCGGAGTGGCTTTCCCTCCGCTCCCCGCTCCGACATCCCTGCCGGGCCCCTCCGCACCTGCCCCCTCCAACGAAGGTTGGCAGCAGGCGAGGGGCTCAAAGAAGTCCCGAAGGCGGGCTAGAAGGGCTGCTCAGAAAGCAGCCCAAGCCCAGCCTTCGCCACCGGTGGCAACGGCCTCAAAAAAGAGGCCGCGGAAGCTGCAGCCGCCCAAAACCGCGGCTGTAGTCGTGACGCTGTCGCCGGAGGCGGCCAGTGGCGGGCTCACGTATGCGGCCCTCTTCAAGGGGGCCCGGCCCGGTCTCGCCACTGAGTTCGGGGAGGCGGGGATGAGGCTGCGCCGCGCCCAGACGGGAGCTCGGGTTTTCGAGTTCCCTGGGGCTGAAGGCGCGGCGACGGCCGACAAATTCGCCGAGAAGTTGCGGGGAATTTTCGCCGCCACGGACGGTGTTAAGATCGCCAGGCCCACCAAATGCGCGGAACTGCGTATCTCGGGCCTGGACGACTCTATAACGTCGGAGGATGTCCGCGATGCAGTCATGGAGAAGACTGGGTGCACCGCGGACACCATCAGAGTCGGCACCGTCCGTCCGGGTCCGGGAGGCCTCGGTGCGGTGTGGGTCAGCTGTCCCGTGGCGTCGGCCAAAGCGTTGGGCGACGCCGGAAGCATGCTCGTCGGCTTCGTTAATGCCAGAATCACGGTTCTGGCCGCGAGGCCGATGAGGTGCTTCAAGTGCCTAGCCGCGGGACACACTCGCACCAGGTGCGAGAGCTGTTTTGACTGCAGCGGTCTATGCTTCCGCTGCGGTCAACCCGGGCACAAGGCGGCAGAGTGCTCTGCCGCCCCTCACTGCCCCGTGTGTGCGGCGGCTAAAAAGCCTGCCAATCACCAGATGGGGCAGGGGGGCTGCAAGCCTCCCCGCGCTTCTCGGCAAACGCCGGGGGCTAGCCTGCCGACCCAGGCTACCTCCGACGTCAATCTTGCGTCGACGCCGATGCCCATGGAGGAGGTTGTAGAGACGATCCAGTAATGGATCAAGTCTCCAACCTCCTGGTCCAGACGAATCTGAACCACTGTGCTGCGGCGCAGGATCTCTTCCTGCAAACCATGGCACAGTGGTCTATAGGTGTTGCCGTAGTCGCGGAGCCCTATTTTGTCCCTCCCCGTCCAAACTGGATGGGTGACCGGGACGGCTCCGTGGCAGTCGTCGGCTCCACGGCGGCTCATTCCCCGCCCTTGTCGCTAAGAGACAAGGGTACTGGATATGTTGCCGCCGATTGGGGGGGAATCACCATTTATGGTGTATATTTCTCCCCCAACCGGAGTTTGAACGACTTCGAGGTCTTCCTTAACAACTTGGAGGCCTCGATGCGGCGACTAGTGTCTGGGCACGTCCTCGTGCTGGGGGACTTCAACGCAAAGTCCATTGCGTGGGGTTCCCCTGCGACGGACGCCAGGGGCGAAGCCGTTGAGGAGTGGGCGGCATCGGTGGGCCTCTGTTTGCTGAACAGAGGCTCCACCAACACGTGCGTGCGACAGCAGGGGGGGTCGATAGTGGACCTTTCGTTCGCTACCCCTGCAGTCGCCGCACGAGTAAGGAACTGGTGTGTCCTGGAAGAGGTCGAGACGCTCTCGGATCATTTGTACATCCGATTCGAGCTCTCCCGGTCCCAGGACCCCAGTAGGGGTCACGCGGCGCGGCGCCCTTCCCGCTTTCCGCGGTGGGCTATCGCCAAGCTCGACAGGGACCTACTAGAGGAGGCGGCCATTATTCACTCTTGGCTGTCTCCGCAGGCCCCGACCGAGGAGGTCGACATGGGGGCTGGTCGCTTCTGCGATGCGATTACGCAGATTTGCGATGCGGCCATGCCCCGCGTTCGTGGTTGTCGGCCTCCAAGGAAGGAGGTCTACTGGTGGTCCCAGGAGTTGGCGGACCTCCGTGCGGCCTGTGTACGTGCCCGGAGGTCCCTCACCCGTAGTCGGCGACGTCACCGCGGGGTCGGTGAGGAGGTGGACCGGTTTCATGAGGAGTACCGAGAAGCTCGGAAAACTCTGAGGCTGGCCATCTGCCGCGCCAAGGATGTCAGTAGAGAGGAGATGCTGGAGAGTCTCGAGCGTGACCCCTGGGGTCGCCCTTATCGTGCGGTGCGTCAAAAGCTCCGCACGTCGGGCCCCCCCCTTACGGAGACTCTCCAGCCCAGCTTCCTGCAGGAAGTATTCCCGCAGCGGGCGGAGCACACACCCCCGTCGATGGCTGCATCAGCCGGAGACGACGGGGGCAGCGAGGCTGATGTTCCGCCCGTCAGGGAATCGGAGTTGGGGGCGGCTGTTCTACGGATTAGATCCAAGAACACTGCCCCCGGGCCGGACGGGGTTCCAGCCCGAGTGATGGCCCGAGCCCTCGACTACATGTCGGACCACCTCAGGGGGGTGTTGGACGCTAGCCTGGCGTCCGGACGCTTCCCTGAGCGCTGGAAATGCGGGAAGCTGGTCCTGCTGCAGAAGCCGGGACGGCCTGCCGAATCGGTCGCGGCCTATAGGCCTATCGTGTTGCTGGACGAGGCGGGTAAACTTTTTGAGAGGGTGCTTTCTGCCCGCATCGTCCGGCACCTTTGCGAGGTTGGCCCCGATCTGTCGGACGCCCAATTCGGTTTCCGAGCGGGGCGTTCGACGATCGATGCCGTAATGCGCCTTAGGGCCGTGACCGAGGAGGCCGTGAGCTGCGGCGGAGTGGTGTTGGCGGTGTCCTTGGACATCGCCAACGCCTTCAATAGTCTGCCATTCAGCTGCATCAGGGAAGCGCTCCGCTACCACGGAGTGCCGGAGTACCTGAGGCGGCTGGTGGCAGACTACCTTGAGGAGCGAACCGTCATGTACGAGGACCGAGATGGCGTCTTGAGACGCAGGGCCATGTCGTGCGGTGTTCCGCAGGGGTCTGTCCTAGGACCACTCCTGTGGAACATTGGATACGACTGGGCCCTACGAGGGCGTCTCCCCCCCGGGCTGGGTGTACTCTGCTACGCAGATGACACTTTAGTCACGGCCCGGGGGGCTAACTTCCAGGAGGCGGCGCGCCTGGCCGCCACGGGAGTTTCCCAGGTGGTCGGGCGCATTGAGGCGTTGGGATTACGGGTGGCCCTGGATAAGACGGAGGCCCTATTATTTCATGGGCCCCGTCGTGGTCCACCCGCCGGCGCCTCAATCGAGGTCGGCTCGGTCCTCGTACCGGTCCGGGCCCAGATGAGGTACCTGGGTCTGGTCCTAGACGGTAGGTGGCTCTTCGACGAGCACTTCCGACAGCTTGGTCCGAAGCTGGTGGACACTGCCTCCGCCCTAGGGCGACTTTTGCCCAATTTGGGCGGGGCCAGTGTTCCCACGAGGCGGCTGTACGCGGGGGTTGTCCGGTCCATGGCGCTTTATGGTGCACCGGTGTGGGTGGCGGCTCTGACCGCCCCGAATAGGGCGCGCCTCTGGCGCCCCCAGAGGATATTGGCGGTCAGAGCCATACGCGGATACCGCACGGTGTCCACCGAGGCGGCTTGCGCCTTGGCCGGTACACCCCCGTGGGATTTGGAGGCGGAAGTGCTCGCCGAAGTTTATCGGCGAGTGGCTGACTTCCGGGCGGAGAGCGGATTTCGCCCTCCGCCCGAAGACGTGCGCGTGCGTTAGATGGTCGTTCCGGCTGGAGACTCCACGCGCTGGCTTCGCCGCCGTGGAGGCTCTCCAGCCGGTCATAGCCGAGTGGGCAGGGCGGCAGCACGGGGCCCTTTCCTTCCGGCTGACGCAGGTGCTTTCCGGGCACGGTTGCTTCGGAAAGTACCTGCACTCGGTCGCTAGGAGGGAACTGAGTCCCGCCTGCCACCACTGCGACTGCAGTGAGGACTCGGCCCAGCACACGCTGGCGGTCTGCCCCGCATGGGCGACGCAGCGCCGGGCCCTCACTGCAGTCATCGGAGCAGATCTCTCGCTACCGGCCGTAATTCGCTCCATGGCCGGTAGCGACAGTTGTTTTACCGCGGTCGCAACCTTCTGCGAGGAGGTAATCTCGCAGAAGGAGGCGGCGGAGAAGGCCCGGGAGGACGACCTCCACTCGGACCTGATCCGCCGCCGGCGAACCGGGCGGCGGAGGCGCGCTTACCTGCGCCTCATGCCGCCCTGAGTGTGGCCGCGGGTGGACGGGGTGGGTTTCCCCTCCACACGCATTAGTTGGCCAGCCGCGAGGGGGCGGCGTCCGCGTGTGCCGGACGTCGCCTAAAGAGAGGATAATTGAAGACGGAGCCCGCACCAGGAGCGGGCCGGCGCTGGGAGGGGTCCAGAAGGCGATAACTACCTGGACCCCTCCTAAACTGGAAGCGCAAAGAGGGCACACCGTGTGGTTTTAGTCGGTTCGAGTCCGACACACCACCCCGCCGCAAACCCCGGTGGGGTGACGGTCCGAGGGGATTTCCACACGTTAAAAAAAAAAAAAAAAAAAGGGTTCGTATCAAGTTTTCCTTCCCTTTGCAGTGCTGTTGTCCCGCGTAGTTTGCTCTCTTAGGCGGGTATAAAGACACCCACGGGATAAATAAGGGTGGTAATATTCCGTATACATAATCCGTGACACTGACCACATCTTTTGAATTTTAGTATAATTGTAGGTAAACATTAAAAAAATATCTATTCATTTCTATATATATCTATTTATTCTATCAGTCTCGATAGGTAACCGTTAATAGTGGAAAAATTCTATTTGGACAGGCTATGATTTACCTACCTGAAAGAAATGTTTAAATGAAACATTTGCGCCGGCATTTAGATTATCTCTAAAAACTATTATTGGTGTATTTGGCATAGACTGGCTGAAATAATAAAAAAAACATTAGAATATTTATAAATATTTTTGTTTACAGTTTCTCTTTTTCTCAATTTAATTTATAGTTGACGCATATGTCATCATCTTCATCATCGTCAAAAGGCTTTAATAGTCCACTGCTGGACATAGGTCCCTCCTTAGAAAGGAGGTTATGGCCTACTATACCACGCTGGCCAGATGGTATGGCTTACCGGTATTTCCGTCCTTTGATTGGACAGGCCAATAGGATTCTTTTTTTTTTTTAAATCTGTTGTTGATTAGGGGTTTTTGTCTATGTGGACATGTCAACCCCATTGTATCTTCTACATGTATACTTTACAATTTACGCGTCACTATGAAAACATTGAACCGCTAATACACAGCTGTTTTGCAGTCTCAGATATTGGTAGTGATAGAATAGTCTGCGCAGTTCCTACATCTATCTGGTTTAGATTCAATGTTTCCATCAGTGCTTTTCTTTCTCTTCGGTTCTTGACACATTCCATTAGCACGTGTTGTACATCCTCTTCCACTCCACATAAGTTGCAATACGGAGAATTTTTCTTTTTCATTAGATATGCAAATTTATTAGATGGAATATGTCCAGATCGAAGTCTTAATAACATTTTTATATGGTTCCTATTAATGTTGCATCCTATAAACCATGGTATACAAAGGCCAATAGGATAAGGCCATCCAAAAACTCCATTCTAAGGAGAGGCCTATGTCCATCAGTGGACTATAAAAGGATGATGATGATGATCCAGTTCATGATCAATTCCATATTTAATGGTAGTTTAAGAACTGTATCTCCATCATTCCAGTTTTTTTATTTTATTTAATACTACATTTAGAATTATGTTGATAATTTAACTTACCCACTAATACTGAAATTAGCTTCAGGCGTAACGTCAATGGTCACATAATGAAAATACTCCTCTGTTATATTATCTGTATAAACCATTTCCACCAATTCTGCTACGATTGGTAAGTATGATTTTTTGGTAGCATTAAAGTCATATTCCAGTTCCACTTCCCATACAATGCTATCGTTTCGGAAAAAGGGTTGTGGAAGATCACAAGTCATCACAGACATTTTTACATAACACTCACTGGGTATTCGTTTTGGATGAGCTGGTAAATTTATGTTCACTTTTACACCGTAAGATGGTTCTCCTTCATTTACAATTTTAAGTATCACTCCAAGTCTGTTATCTGTACCGGGTACATAAGGACTGTAAGAAAATAGAATAAAATGATATAAAATATAAATAAAGATATAAAATTGGAATTTTGCCTTTTATATTTGTAAAAAAAGTAAGTGTACGGTGTTTATAACAATTAATTTTGACAAAATTTAACCATCAGGCAATATCAAGTAAGGTTAACATCTAGGTGAGTTACGGATTTATTTGAAACAGCTCACATAATCCTTTCAATTTAAATTCAAGTTCAAGTTATGTTTTGTACTCCCTTAAAAGCTTACTAATATTGAAATTATCTCTAAACGCTTTCCAGATATAAAACAAGAGTAAGTCTAGTTCTACTCGTATAGTTGCTCTCATCTATCCCTACAACAAGTTTTGCATAAATTTAGACATACAAATTAATGGTGTAAAATAACACTTCATGACCCCGAGCATATCTATTTATAAGTTTCTGACACTGCCACCTCAATTGAAACTTGTTAAACTAAGAGACCACAACAATTATAAAGGCGAAAGTTTTTTTAATTTTTGTCACTTCTTTACGCTCAAACAGTTGGACCAATTTTGATAAAAACATTCATGGTGGTAGCAGACACTCTGGATTTTTTCGAGTCATGATATTTTTTCGAGATAAGAAGTAGCCTATGTATTAATATAAGCTACTTCTTATCTCGAAAAAATGTTGTGTTCTCGTTGGGTGAGCAAGTATCCGATAGACCGCGGATAACACCGCAAAGCGCAGCTAGCATATGAAAAAACATCAAAATAAATATTTCATTTTATAATAATTGTGCAAATGAAGAGAAACAGTTGAAAATTAAAACAAAACTATACTCACTTGTCCATTGCCTCGAAAGTCACGTTTAACCAAGGACTGCAAACAAGATCGTAACCACAATCTACGAGTACTTGGACCGATTTCGATACTGTCAGAGTAGAATCTTCAGATACTCTGGTAGCATGACTCAAAAATTTTGTGGAGTTATCTGAAATTGATAATATCTTTACATCACACAGGCAATTCTTTCACTAAGTGACAGAAGAAAGTCCAACCCCCAAAGTATCGTCGTTAGGCAGATGGCTGGCTACAAAAACCAGCAAAATCTTTTTGAATGTAAAACATTGCGCCGACTCCAAATAGATTTTTGAAAGTGATGATCAACAGCCTTTGAGAGTCCACTGTTGGACATAGGTAAGGCAAGGCTCTCCTTAGAAAAGAGGTTTTGGCCTACTATGCCACGCTGGCCAGACGGGGGTGTTAGGTTATAGGGCTTGTGTCAAGATTTCCTTCTCTTTGCAGTGTTGTTGTCCTGGATGGTTTGCTCCCTTAGTCGCCTCTTACGACGGGACGGGATGATTGGGGGTGGTGACAATCCGTATTCTTAATCCGTCACCACACGGACGCCAGTGATGATCATGATATTCTAAATTTAAATAATAAAGGAAAAATACTTAGATACAGTCCGAGGTATCCAAGCTGAATAAAAAAGATATAACAAGAAAAAACAGAAGCGATTTGTTTTTTTTAAGAAATTGATTATGTAAGTAAATAAATTATTTGTTCTCAACGTTTTAATCACAAAACTTGCAGAATACCAGGTGAACCAAATATGTGATCATTTTTAAACACGATCTTTAGAAAGCTTCGATCTCAGCCTAATGCATTTAGTATGTTTACACGACAACTATGCTAAAAGTTAACATAATGCTTACCCAGCATTAGTTCGTGAGCTTCCAGTTGAAACTTTAATAAGATTGGTTTCAGCAAATCAGCGGTCAACTGAAAATAATATTCTCATACAATTATTATTTGTTTATAACTAAGGTACTTTCTAAGTGACAAATTTACTTATCTAACCTATATTAATGCTTTGCGATAGGGCCCTGATCTCTTGAATAAAAAAAAAACTCAAAATGTAATACGCGTCCTCTGGCCTCATTTTGAAATGTGTTTGAATTGAATTTAAACACATTTTAAAAGAGGTTAGAGGACTTCACAATAACAGTCATTTCGAGTTGCAAATATGCCAAATGTATAAATATGCGTATATGTATAACTATTAGGATTGCCCCTCACTTTTTTTCTCTTTAAAAAAGACATTATATCCCGTGTCTCGGAGGACTTTACAAATATACATGAAACGGACACAGAGGACACCCAGACTCAGAATAACAATTTGTGGATCACACAAAGTGTCATCCCATGTGGGGATCGAACCCACAACACTCAGCGTAGTAGTAAACGGCGTGGCGCTTAAACCACTACGCCATCCATGCAGTCGTCTAATATTATTTAAGTTGTATTAAGGTATACTACAGCCGCGTTAGGTTGCGAAACACAAAGGACACATCGGGGCGAACCACATCGCAACGCATAACATCGCTGCAAAAATACCCATAGCAAGCGATCTGCCAATGCGTTGCGATGCGGCCCAGTGAGGTATCCTTTAGAGTCATAGTCGAAAAAACGTAGGCGTTTAATGTGCCTCTGATAACCTATGGATATATTCTTTGATCTCAATGCACTTACATTAACATTAATTGTTTTCTCGTGACATTCTTCATTGGCCGGTGTAATAACGACATTATATCCATTATCTCCAATTAATGTGGCTCGTTCAGCGATAGGATCAACATCTATTTTGCCTGTTATATCTGATGGAAAAAGAACTTATTTATGTAACTCGCAGATATTTAAAATTACGTTTTGATCGAGAAAATTAGAGAATAATAAGTACATACGCATGTATGTGACTTTTTTAATAAAACCTATATTTAAGCATCTTACGTAAGCTTTCCATAGTAGGCCAAAACCTCCTTTCTAAGAAGAGGGCTATATGTCCATCAGTGGACTATTAAAGGCTGTTGATGATGATGACGTAAGCTTTCATGATCAACAACCTTTAGTAGTCAACTGCTGGACATAAGCCTCTCCTTTGAAAGAGGTTGTTTCAAGTTTTTCTCCCTTAGTCGGCTCTTACGACACCCATGGGATGAATAGGGGTTGTGACACTCTGTTTCCATAATCCGTTACCACACGGACAAGCTTTACTACAAGCTTTTTATGTTTACTTTATGACTATAAGGTTATTCATGGATTCATTCTCACAATCTGTTTCTTACACAATTTTGAAAGGCCGTTAAGTACAATATAAATTGAAATTTGAAACTAAACAAAGAACTTAGATTTAGACTTATGACTTACTAACGTTTTACGTACGTACTTACAAACGTAAAGGTAAGGCAAGTTACGTTTTTATGGATATTATTAATAAAATATCGGATATATTTTAAAATATAACCAAAGATTAGAATAAAATTTAAAAAGTAGTTAAAATTGATAATGATAAACTGACATTGACAGGTTTAAAGATTAAGTATTTTAGGATATTTAAGACGAGTCAATTAACTTTGTAAGTTGAAAAAAATAATGAATACTTACTTAATTTGGCATTTGGCCACAACTTGATCCGAGGAGCAGACACACAGAACATGGTTGTGAAGGTTGTGATATTACTTGGTAAACTTATGTGGTTGTTCACCCTGATCGAAGCACGCACTGGTATAGTAGGAATACACCGGTACAGATATGAGGCGCCGCTATTAAATGCACCAATGGCGAGATCTAAAATTAAGATTTTAATTCATAACTGCCAGTTTCTTAATTTTCAAACACAATACACAATAATGTGTGATTGTGTTAATTCAAAAAGTGATCAAATCAGAAACAAAACTGAAACCGAATTAATGAAACTAATTCGGTTTCGGTTTTGTTTTTGATCAAAAAATTCAACTGTTTCTTACAAATACCCATGGTTGGGAGGAATTAGTGGTATTTTCCCTTACACACGTGTTACAAATCCAGTTATTTGGTAAGAAGGAAGTTCCTAAGGATCACGTCAGAAATCAGCAGCTTGATAAACAAATTGTGGCTGAGATCAGCCAACGTAGACTGAGGAAAGTCTTTATTATTAATGATTATGTGAGAACTAAACACTATAGACATCTATTTAAAAAAATTGATGTTTTGTTTATAAAACAATAAGATTTGGTTAGTAATTTCACTTTAAGTATTGCGATACGAGAAAATGCATCTTATTTGTCAAATGGCTCTTCAGTATTAATTAGGACTTCATTACGACATGAGATTATTGTAGCGATTCCTTTTCTTGTTCACCATTATTTTGATGTGTCAGGTTTAATATACATGTTTTATTTGCTATATTTATATCTCTCAGTAACATACCATTACAGTTATTGTTATCCACATCTAATCCTTTTGATATTGACCAGCCAAAGCCTTGAGCACCGGCAGGTTGTATGCGTTGAACATTTCGATCGCTTAATCCTTTGGCATTTCCCATATAAATATATACGGCTCCCACACCATTGTTTTCCCATGGCGCTCCAACAGCAATGTCTATTAAAAAGTAAAGGTTTAATAATCAACAATATTAGTTAGTAACATAACTTATAACATACTAGTTTCTTCTTTCCAAAGAAATTGGAAAAGATTCAGGGAAAGATCGTACAAAATGGGCAAGAAGCTAAACACAGACGCGCAAAATGGTACCCAAACCTACCTCTGAATTCATCACCATTTACATCGCCTAGATCAGCAATAGTAGTTCCAAATCTTGCTCCGTCTACTCCAGAGCCCGCCACGTACCCAGATTCTTCTAAAACAAATCCATCAGGAGCCTGAAGATGAAATTTCAAATGGTTGAGAGTTAAATTAAATTCGTACATGGCGTATTAACAAATTTGAAATAAAAACCATAACTGTTTTTTTTATTATAGGTGTCGTTTCCAGGAAATGCCCAATTAGCCATTTTCTTCTACTAATGTAGACAAGTAAATTTCTAGTCTCAAAAACTTATACGTATTACAAAGAATTATCTTCAAGTACTTGAAAATATTGAAAATTGCTAAAAAACGGGGAATAAAAACTGTTACTAATTCGAAGTCACACTTTTATAAATCGGCAGCAAATAATTTTACCTCTTTTGCTATATAAATAAACACAGCTCCTTGATCATAAGGAAGACCACCATCTTTCTTCACGAAAGTGGGAGCTCCCACCAGCAAATCATCGAGACCGTCATTGTTGATATCTGTGCAGCAAAGACTTGCACCGAAGTATGATCCAATTTGAGGACCCAGGAGTTTCAACTTGATGTTTAATGGGTTCAGTTCTGAAGTAGGAGGCTCGATAATTAGGACCTGTAAAATTTTGCGATTATTTTGCTTTAGTGTTTAATAAATAGGTACTTTTTAACGATAATTAACGATAACAAACAAGACAGAATACTATGCTCAAAACCATACTTATTATGTCAGTAATGTCATATTATGTATGACATTACTAACAGATAGATAAATTACACCCTACAAATGATTGTCCTCATCACACACACAATATTTGTCCTGCTTGAGAATCGAAACCACCACCTCTAGCTCAGTAGCCGAAATTACTTACCACTAAGCAAGGACAGGATACACATTAACGAATAAAAATTACTACAAAAGTGACAGTATTATGGCTGTTTAAATAACTTCTGCCTAACTTCAACTGCCTAGGGATAGTACTCTCTTTCAAATAGTGTAAACGAAGTAGCTAAATTGGTGTAAACATGTCAAGATAAGATATAGATATCTAGAGGACTGGACATCATCATTTTTATTCACATTTTATTCCTAATAGTTGATGAGTATAATTACCTTTCCTCTACCCAACTCTGCCCGTGGAGCTCCTCCAATATAAAGAACAGTTCCATTTTGCTGGAAAATTCCAGATTCAACGCTATATCCTATGAAAACAAAATGAAAAGTATAAATTAACCGCTCTTAAATAATCACTAACTCATAACATACACAGCTTTTATACATTCTTAACGTAAACCTTACCAAAATATTCATCTGGTTCCAAATCCGTGGTATAATAAGGGTTTGCAATGGGTTGTAGATATGTCCTTGTTGAGGTGTCATTTGGATCAAAAATGTAACTGATAATTCCACCTGCAATTAAAACCGAAACGGGTATAGACAAATCTATCTATCTACCCATCGTGAATCTTCTGAATTTATCACTAATTAGTTTATATGTTAACTCATGTGTTTTATTAACCAAAGATAATCTAATTCATTTCAGGAATTCCGATTAGTCTTTGATATTTACTCGATTTTAACTTCGAATTGAAAATGTCTTCTTTTTAAAATCTTTTATGAAAATTGGTTAAAAATTTTATAAAGTTTTTGATGTTCTTATTTCCTCTAGAATCTAGGTATGATTTTGTAAATTTAGATTTGGAAGTATGTAGTAGAAACCCAGGGAAGAATGGCGTGGTGCTAGAGTTGCCGTCAAATGACAAGTGAGATGTCAGATATTACACATCATATTATACAACGACTGTGAGACTCGCTCGTTTTTTTTAACATTCACCTGCAAATGCCATGAGTCCTGGAGCTCCAAGAATCACTGTGTTCATCTTGGTAACTGCCAATGAAAATCCAGCTTCTCCAAAGTTGTAATAATATATAGTTGAATTTTCTTCGCCATAACTTGGCCTGTTTTCATCTACTTGGAAAGTGGCGTAGTTTTTCTTGGTCCTTTCTGTAAATTTAGAAACTTTTTTTCATAGCCAATCATAATAAGAAAACTTATTCGAATTTGTTGTACCTTCGATGTGGTCATAATTGAGTCAAATTCGAGATCTCGGACAAACGATAGAGCCTGTTAGAAGATTTTTTTTGGCAACACTTAAATTAATTTCAAGAAATCCATATTTGCAATGTAAATAATATCACCTGATCCCAAAGGATTCCAAAAACTATTTCTCCTCGGAGTTAAAAAGTAACAAGCACCGAGTAAAGACCCATCTGCCGTTAGTTGACTTGAATTCTGTCTTGGTGCTGCGACCTGAAAATATAATTTCGTATATTGAGCGGCTATAAAACATACAGCAAAGGTATCCGTTTTCCTATCGTCTTGTCAAATTTGATTTGAAGTTTCTTCAAAATCAATAGTAAGCACACGTTTCCGTGTTTGGGGTCTGCGAGAATTATGGCTGCCAAAATTTGCAAGGTATTTTTGTAGCTAGTCATGAAGACATCATGCAGTTGCAATATAAAATAAACGATCATTTGACAAAATTATCATTGTGTGTACACTATGTTCTAATTGGGAGATAAAATAATATGGAGACATACATGAAGTTTTCTCTAATTACTGTTAAAGAGTTAGACAACCTACAAGCCGTGGCCTTTAAGTATAAAGTTTCTAAACATTCAAAAAATGAAATAGGAAATCTGTATGACTACACTCGGCTTTTGTAAAAACATATTTTTACATGGCTAACGAAACAGCTTGACAAAAAATACACAGAAAACCACTGTTAACCGCAGTTGAGGGAAATTACCGGAGCTTAAGCCCCTCTTCCCCGCCCATACCTTAATAAAGAACTTTTAATCTTACCAATAATCTATGGTTAGTAAGGACGACCACAGATGCTCCAAACCAACTGCCACTGTTCAACGATCCACTCATATACCATTTACTTTTAACTGCGCTATGTGCATCCAATTTGTCACAATTTTTTTGTCTGTCGTCCAAGTTACGTAATGAACATAAGTAGACAGCTCCGGTTAATGATTTCCAACGTTTTCTGTTCCATCTCTGTACGGTCTCCGCTTTAGGTGCTCCGATAAGAAGCCTGTAAGTACCAAAGGCGATAAATTTATTTAGTTATACAGGTCATAAGAGCCCCTGAATAGGGGTCATGGAGTTTTTTTAAATATTTGTTTATAATTTCTTAACTATTTTCATGGGTACATAGTTAACAATTGTTGTACTACAAATTCAGTGTATATATCCATATATACACTGAAGTTGTAAGTCTCGTAAGCTGCCGGCTCACCGGACCTAAAATGACGTTGGAATTGGAAGTAAATAAGAAAGAAGAGATTTCCAATAAAGATGTATGGGGTGTTATTTCTACATAATGGCTGATAATCACATATTTGAAAAAATACGGTTTTGAAAGTTACAAGTTACATCTTGTAAGAAAACTATTTATTGAGGCATTTCGGTTGGCATTCGAGTGGATTATAATGTTTGTGGTTTATACAAATCTGTTACCGTGGTTGATGCACAGAAGTTTATTTATTTATTGAGCCATTTCGGTTGGCATTCGAGTGGATTAAAATGTTTGTGGTTTATACAAATCTGTTACAGTGTTTGATGCACAGAAGTTTATTTATTTATTTATTTCAATGCTTTATTTACATGTAGTACATAGGTCGACGTCGTACGTTTACGTGGTTAACGTCTAAAAAGGCTTTTTTTGGTCTATTTCGAAAACTAGTTCTATTTGTAGAACATATTAACATCCTACTATTTAAATAGACTGGATATGAGTGGAGAGGAGTGATGTATGTATGACGTAACGGTTTGATAGCATATTCTAAGGCCAAAGTTTAATCCTAGCGTCGAAGTTCAGAAATATCCAAAGTACAAACTAATTGATGATTCAAGAATATTGTGTTACCATATAGTATTTAACAATATAAATAACATGCACGCACTTGCAGGGTATCTGCATTGATTTGCGAAATCTACAGTAATGCGAACACAGTTGTTGGTTGAAACTGTTTTTTGGTATTCATCGTGTTATTCCCAAAGTATTTTTTTGTCTTCCTCATTATAGTGTACTAAAAGTATTATCTGTGTGATGACGGAGTAAGAATACTAAATGTGTCACCACTCCAATTCATCCAGTGGGTGTGGTGAGAGCCGACTAATGGAGCAAACTACACAGGACAACTAAACAGCACTGCAAAGAGAAGGAAAACTTGAGACAAATTCTATACCATCCTGTCTAGTCAGCGTTGTATAGTAGGCCAAAACTTCCTTTCTAAGGATAGGCCTATGTCCAGCAGTGGACTATTAAAGGCTGTTGATGATCAGATGTGTGAAAAGTAGTATATATACATATATTGACATTTAGTTTCTTTTTTGTTTTGTGATTAAATTGTATATGGGCTAAACTAACAACAGAAGAAGACAGATAGTTAAATATAGGAAGAGGTTGTCTGTAAGAAATCGCCGTGACCGATAAGACCACCTATTGTAATACCATAATTATGTAGATATCCATCCATCTCTGTACAAAATATAAACTGTAGCGGTGTACAATAAAGATGTATAAATAAACAATTATAGAGTTTTACGTGGGCTTAAAATAGACTTGAATTACATCATGAGTCACTGATGTTATTGCTGACCGATATTACAACAAATCGTACAGTTTAGTCATATTTGATTATGATCCTTTCAAAGCTAAAATTGTGAGTTTCCTGGAATCAAAGTGTGATACATAAATTACCTTATGTTTGAATTGTGTTAACAAGCAAAGTTTTAACTAAAAGATGTAGCAGTAAATGTTTTGGAGAGTTCAAAGTGGCAATTTTAATTGTGGAACAGCCATGCTTTGACACAAATCAGCCGGGTCGACCGGAGTGCTACCACGGCTTCACAAAAATAATTATTTTATTGATTTTTATCGAGTTAGTGAGATCACCGGAGAACAAAATTCCCTTTCGGTGGTAGTCACTTACGAACTATTTATTTAGAGCAGGGATTCCCCAACTATTTTTGGCAAGAGACCTCTTTTCTAAAGTGAACTGAAACCTCAGACCTCCATAGCGAAATTACTACACGCTTATCGACTTGTTAAGTTTTTAAAAAGTACGATCATGATACTGCCTACCAAAATATTAGTCATTCTTTGATTTTAATTTAAGGGTTAATTACTAAGGGTCCACTTTTAGACGTCGTTGACCCTCAATATCAGTTTTCGACCATGTTGAGCCTTGGGAAACCAATTTCGACCTCAAAGGGGTTGACCACATTAGGAATCCCTGATTTAGAGCATCATGGATGTTACAATCAAAAATCTTCTACACGTAAAGAAGCAATAACCCAAAAATAATCAGACCCTTAGTATGTCATGTAAAATTACATGTATGTAAGTATGTATTTATGTATAAATGTTGTATGTATGTATTTATATGTATAATATATATTACTGTACAAATCAATGTAGGTATTTGTTTGATATATGCTTTTCTCTAGTGATTACCAAGTACGCGTGACTGTGTCCTAACGTTTTCCTGCTATCCTCATTTCACTTAAGGTCTGCTAGAAGAATCATTCATCAATCATTTTTGGGTTAAGCTCGCGTTTGTACATGAGATTTCCTTTTGACTTATTTAAATACATGAGTCTGATGTGTCCAATAAAGAATAAATGAAATGAAATGAAATAACTCTTAATAGGTAATTAATATTATTTAACGGGAATTAACGCGATCTCTTATTTAGGGTATTACATACCTCTGGTTTGCCTGACGTTTCGACCAGGTTGCACCGGCCGTGGTCACAGGCTGACTGGCTCATCGGCGCACGCCCTCCGTCGTCGAATCCGTGAAGTAGAAGGCTCTTCATCTACCCGCACATTTTCGATATTATTTTTGTGTCGCCATGTACCGTCACATACCACACTAACAGTGTCCCTATTCTGTAAGCAAACCGATGAGTCCCTATTCTGGTGTTTAACCGATTGCGCAGAAAAGCGAGGTGGTATGTTTTTTAACACTGGATTCCACGCTGTAGATAATTTAAAACCATCTTCCCGATTGAAAGTTTTATGCTTTTTAATCTCAATCGCTTCACGTACAACTCTTGAGTAAAAGTGACGTTCGGTGGAGAGGACTTGCGTGCGGTGAAATTCAATCCAGTGGTTGATGCCTGCATCGAGTGCATGTTCTGCAATCGCTGATTTGCTCGTCTGTCGGTTCTTCACAGCAGCGATATGCTCTTTGACCCTTTCTGCAATAGTCCGCTTAGTTTGGCCTATGTATGAGCTTCCGCAGCTGCAGTCTATTTTATAAACACCCGGAGTTTGTAGTGGCAATGTATCCTTCGGTGTGCCGACGATGTTGTGAACCTTTATGCCTGGTGTGTATACTGTCGGAATGGAATATTTCTTTAGTACAGACCCGATCTTGTCCGTAACTCCCTTGACATAAGGCATATAGGCCGGTTGCCTGTTCACTTCTGGATACTTGCGTCTTATTTTCGGTTGCTTCCGTCCTCCTTTCACTTGATATCCGTTACCTTTGAGTACCTCCTGAACATGTTTTAGCTCCTGTTCTAAATGTTCAGGGTCACAGAGATCGTAAGCTCTGTTTTTGAGTGAAGTCATAACAGATTGCAAGTGCCGGGGGTGATGATGAGACGTGGCGTGTAGGTATCTGTCCGTATGAGTAGGTTTACGTTTATCACCCCCGGCACTTGCAATCTGTTATGACTTCACTCAAAAACAGAGCTTACGATCTCTGTGACCCTGAACATTTAGAACAGGAGCTAAAACATGTTCAGGAGGTACTCAAAGGTAACGGATATCAAGTGAAAGGAGGACGGAAGCAACCGAAAATAAGACGCAAGTATCCAGAAGTGAACAGGCAACCGGCCTATATGCCTTATGTCAAGGGAGTTACGGACAAGATCGGGTCTGTACTAAAGAAATATTCCATTCCGACAGTATACACACCAGGCATAAAGGTTCACAACATCGTCGGCACACCGAAGGATACATTGCCACTACAAACTCCGGGTGTTTATAAAATAGACTGCAGCTGCGGAAGCTCATACATAGGCCAAACTAAGCGGACTATTGCAGAAAGGGTCAAAGAGCATATCGCTGCTGTGAAGAACCGACAGACGAGCAAATCAGCGATTGCAGAACATGCACTCGATGCAGGCATCAACCACTGGATTGAATTTCACCGCACGCAAGTCCTCTCCACCGAACGTCACTTTTACTCAAGAGTTGTACGTGAAGCGATTGAGATTAAAAAGCATAAAACTTTCAATCGGGAAGATGGTTTTAAATTATCTACAGCGTGGAATCCAGTGTTAAAAAACATACCACCTCGCTTTTCTGCGCAATCGGTTAAACACCAGAATAGGGACTCATCGGTTTGCTTACAGAATAGGGACACTGTTAGTGTGGTATGTGACGGTACATGGCGACACAAAAATAATATCGAAAATGTGCGGGTAGATGAAGAGCCTTCTACTTCACGGATTCGACGACGGAGGGCGTGCGCCGATGAGCCAGTCAGCCTGTGACCACGGCCGGTGCAACCTGGTCGAAACGTCAGGCAAACCAGAGGTATGTAATACCCTAAATAAGAGATCGCGTTAATTCCCGTTAAATAATATTAATTATCATGGAACGCGAAAGTTTAAAAGTTAGTATAGCAAACCGCTACGGGTCGGAAATTGCAAAACAAGTGCGTCACCTAGAATATTTACGTAAAAAACGAGCGCGAATGGAAACATCGTTGATATTTCTTGTGAAGTGTCGCGATTGGGACTTATTACCTTCGTGTGTTCGAATAAAACCGCGTAGTGATATCGCATTTTCACGTGAAATTCTAAAAAACGCGAGTGCACGTCTCCTGAGACAATTAATTCGAAACAAACACAGTGATTTGGAGTATATACAGAGGGAGTCATATGCGTTACAATTAAAGTGCAGTGTTAATCTATCTCAATCGGACTATGATTTGTGTGACCGGGTTACGTTTTTACAAGCGAGTCGTACCTTCGAGTTATGTAGTAAAAATTTTGATCGAAAGTTCTCGAA